TACAGTAAGAGAATGTACTTGTGCATGATTCTTTTTGACAAGATCATAGTATTGGTCCTTGATCTAGAAATTAAACTTATTAGTTAGGTGATGAAATGGATAGAATTTGCAGAGACTTTTCCTGCTGATTCTAAGGCATACTTCAATGTTCTTAACCAGTTAATTGGAGTTGGCTCAAAACTGCAGCAGGCGGTCAGTGGTTTGTCAAAGTATTGCTATTCAGACGAGTTGACAATAATATTAGTTCTTGCATAATCTGTTGCATGCACTTTTATCTACATAGTTCTTGAATTTATTGATTTATGAAGCTTATTTTCCCGCGGTGTTCTTTGGTTTTTTTATGTGCTTTGAAGAATTGTCATGTTGTGCTGATAACTATGTAAAACCTGCAAGGCTACAAGAGTGATGTTGGAAGATTTGGTTGTCTATAGACACTTTTCATCAAAGTATGTTTTTATGTTTGTCGAACAAGTTGACTAAGGGATTGATTTGTATTCTATGTTTTGCTTAATTGGAGTAGTTGGGTTCATGTCATAACTTAAGTTCAACTGTAGCTCCTTGAAGAGTCCTTTCTAGCCTAGAAAAAGAGAAAATTAAAGTTATATGACTCTGCCTTGTGAAAGAGTGTTGAAACTCCCATCATAAAACCTCTGAGTTGGATCTTAAGTGGAATAATTATTGGAATTATGTAGCTAATTTTTGCTTTTGATAATACGGAACAACAATTAATCCATTCCCCATTTTTTCACATTGCCTTTGATTTATACTCAATCCTCTTTATGACGTTGGGTTTGAAATCAGTACATGAAATCCTCAGAAGCCCTTCTTTTTTTCTTTTCTTCTCACAAGATATGGAATATAATGTATTCTGAAATTCTTGAGGCATCTAGAATCTTATGTGAATTTTATATTTGCTTATTTTTTATGATTTTCGTAGATTGCTATTTCGAGTGGGAACTTATGTTTATTAATGCAACCTCATGTTCTTAAACGATTGTAATGCAATGAGGTTGATATTTTTCTATTTATTGTTCCTGTCTTTTAGATGCTTTGTGCTTTAAATGAAGATCGCACTGTTGTAGAGCCTTTACCACCTCTGGAACGAGCCAACTAAAAATGATCCAAAATTCAGTATATTGAGGTTAGGAGTTAGTTTTTTTTGGTAATTTCGCGAATGTATGCATATAAGTTTTAAGTCCACACTCGATATATTGACGCTAGGCATCCTAAAGCTAAAATTTAGATTCAGCATATTGAGTCGGGTTTTTTCGCTAACTTCAGTGTTTTGTTGTTAGGAGTTAGGTTCAGTTTTTTTTTATTTAGTTTTTTTTTTATTTTTTTTTTTTTTTTTTTTTTTTTTTTTTTTTTGTTTTTTTTTTTTATTTTTTTTTTTTTTTTTTTTTTTTTTGTTTTTTTGTTTTTTTTATTATTTTTTTATTTTGATTTTTGTTTTTTTGTTTTTTTTTTTATTTTTTTTTTATTTTTTATTTTTTTTTTTTTTTTGTATTTTAATTTTTTTTTTTATTTTTTTTTTTTTCTTTTTTTCTATTTTTTTTCTTTTTCTTTTTATGGTTTTTTTTTTTTTCTTTATTTTTTTTTTCTTTTTTTTTTATTTATTTTTGTTTTTTTACTTTTTTTTTCTTATTTATGTATTTTTTTCTTTTCTTTGATTTTTTTTTATTTATTTTTATTTTTTTTTTCTTTGTTTTTTATTTATTGTATTTTTTTTTTTATTATTATTTTATTTTTTTTACTGTTTTTTTTTTTTTTTTTATTTTTTATTATTTTTTTTGTTTTTTTTTTTTTATTTATTATTTATTTTTGGTTTATTTTTTTTTTTTTTTTTTTTTTTTTTTATTTGTTTTTTTTTTTTTTTTACTATTTTTTTATTTTAAATTATAATTATTGTTATATATTTACATTTCATATATTTATATTATGTGGTTTATATATAGATATATTTTTTATTTTTATTATTATTTATATTTTTTGTTTTTTTTTTTTTTTTTTTTATGTTTATTTTTTTCATTATTTTTTTTTTTATACTTCTTTTTATATTTATCTTTTTTTTTCCATTATTTTTTTATATTTTTTTACAATAAAAAATTATAACTGGATTTTGTTAGCATTACCTGTGCTGTCACTAGTTGGAAAATGGAAATATAATGTTATAAGCACCTTATAGTATTTTCATTCTTCTATTGACTGTAGTCATTATCAAATGGTTTTCATGCTTTTGTGTTATACTAATATATATGATGAAATGAAAATGGTTGGATTATTTGAAAATATTTTACTGGAGAAGCACGCCTCAGGTGACTTATTTTCTGTTATTAATTAGTGTTCCCTTGCAGAATTTAGAGTTTAAGATTTAGTTCTGCTTTCTGGGACAATTTTCTTTTTGTCTATCTTACCAAAAAGAAAAAAAAAAAATAACTAATAAATAAAATCAGTTAACTACTTGTATAATATGCTATTCATTGAGTTCTGGATATTAGTTACATGGAGCAAAAACTGCGGCGAAGCTTGAAGTATAATCAAATGCTAAAAAGACTATATGCAATCATACAAGTAGGGTTTGAGTAAGGGTTTGATTTGTATTATAGAGTACTACCTGATGTTCTTGAACAATTTAAATGCTATGAAGTTGGTTTTTGTGCTATGTTTGATTCCTGTTTATTAGGTGCTTTGTGCTTCAAAGGAAGATCACAGTGCTTTAGAGCCCTTATTACCTCTAGAATGAGCCAAATCTGGGGAGTATGTTTGATTTTGGATGTAAGCATGCCAAGTTACATAGAATTAAAACTTGCATGTACCGCCCGCCTGAGTAAGTTTAGTTCCACTTCCAGCTTTTGTGAAACTTTCTAAGAGACTATCAACACTTATGGCAAGAAGGCAGTAGGATTACATAAAATGAGCGCATAAAGTAGCCAAGTCCCTTGATTAAATGAGTAATACCAAACACCTTTATTCATTCAACCAATAGCTAAATCAAGATGTCCTCACTTTTATTTATTCAGTTTGTGGCTTGGAATCAAGTTTTGGCTGCTGCAAAATTCAGTTTTCTTCCTGGTATCATCCCTACTTACAAACAATTGTCAATATTTTTATCCTGGATTTTGGAAAACCAGAGGAAGTTCTAAACCCAAAACTGAAGTAGTTGGAGAAGATTACACTTCGCTTGCGTTTTGGATTTTCTAGGCTTGTGAGTTGTGATTGTATGATATTGATGTTAGGCCTTCTAAGCGTCCTAAATCCAAAATTCAGTATAAATATAAAAATGTGCACCAGCCGGGAATCGAACCCGGGTCTGTACCGTGGCAGGGTACTATTCTACCACTAGACCACTGGTGCTGTTGATAGTTAATGTTGTTATTATTACATCAGAAAAGGTGTGTGGGATCAGATTTTAGCATACCATTTATGATATCGGGGGAGCCATGCGATGCTATTCATGCATTCCTAAGGCAAACATCAAAACACTAGCAAAAACTAGAATTTGATTTTGTTTAAGCATTATCTGTGGTGTCTTTGGTCGAAAAGATAATGTTATAAACACCTTGTAGTTTTTTCATTTTTCTTTTGACTGTAGTCATTAATAAATGGTTTTCATGCTTTTATGAATATGATGAAATGAAAAGGTTCTTAATCACACCATTGTCACCCAAGACAGTGGGAAATTGAAACTCAGGACCATTAATTATATTGTTAGAACTTAGAAATATGGGAAAAACTATATGGGTGTGTTTGATTTATTATTTTGAATAGGATTTTGGGGATAGTATTGGATAATTGAATATGGGAGTAGTACGAGGTAAAATTTAAAAATTTATAAAAAAAACCCCTTAAGTTTGCTAATTTAACAAATACCCCAACATGTAAAATGATAAAAATACCCCCACCACCTGCAGTGCCAGATTCCGACCACCACTGCCGGAATCTGGTCGAAAATCGCGTTACTACACAGACCGGTCGGATCTGTGTCGTAACGCATCGTTATAGCCTTTTTCGGCAAGATCCACCACGGATCTGACCGGAAAAGGCCAAATCTACGGCGTGCCGTGGCCGTCGACGGCCGAAAAAGGAGAAAACGACGGCCATCTTTGGCCGTCGTTCACGGCCAGATCTGGCCTTTTCTGGCCAGATCTGTGGTGGATCTGGCCTCAAAAGGTCAGATCGGTGAACTTCCGACCATTTATGGTCGGCAGGTAGGCCGTTGTACAGATTCCGGCTACCACCGATGGTGGTTGCCGCAATCTGGCAAGCATGGGTCACGGGGGTGTTTTTGATAATTTTTAAATTTTTTTTTGAGGGTGTATTTGATGAAATTAATAACCTTATGGGGTTTAAATGTAGTTAAAAAAATATGGTAATATTTATGGAATAATGTGTCAAACATTATTTGGAGAATAGGGTTGGGAATAGGGATAAAAATAATAAGTCAAACATGACCTATGATATCCAAAAAATTTATATACTTTTGAACATTACAATCAATACCATTGATCATTGAACTTCTTCTTCCAAACGCAGCACTACTTTAAAAGTAGCCACAGTCAATTATAAATTTATTCGATTGTTATAACTTTAAAAGTAGCCACAGTCAATTATAAGGATTTCGATTGTTATTTATGAATGTTGACTTAATAATTAATAGTATTGTGTTATTTTAGGGCATGATTTCAATATAAAACTTATAATATAAGCTTTAATAGCTCAGTTTATGTGTCAAATGACGCTTGGTTAGTGCTGTTTGAGATGTGAGATTGTGCCACGTGCTTTAAAATATGGGAAATGGGCAATTGAATGAAAATGACAAAACAAAAGATATTTAAGCTGCTATCTTATCTCAATTGCTTTGATGGTGATGTCCAAGGCCTTGCTGTGTTGGAAAAGTGCACGTCTGTTTTTCTTGTTGCGTGAGGCGACACTTTCTAAATTGTTTTCACATTTAAACAAAATTAATTTATATACTGTCTATTTGGACAAAAATGATATGTCCCGTGACAAATAAAATTCCTTTATGTTACAAAACGTGATTTGTTTAACGCAATGTGAGGGGACACATGTCACACATTGGGCTTAACGGAAGTACCTAAAGCCTAAATTCGTCTTTAAAACACTCCCTGATTTCCCAATCTTCATCTTGCTACACCGACTAGTGAGGAGTTCCCGGTTTCGCTGGAAACGCAAATATCTGGCGTTTGAATTTGTAATTGTACCAGAGCATAAACTGAGAGACAAAATGGGAGGAGTGAAGAAGATCTGGAACGAGATGGAGGTTGCAGCCGAAGCTCGTCAGAACGGTATCACTGAATTCCTAACGTCTAATGTCACCGTCGATACCTCGCTTTCTCTCCCTCACATGACCCCTCACGTCATGTTAGTTATTCGCACACTACTGGATCTTGTGTTTTTTAGATCACTTAAGCTTACCGTAATTTGTTCTTCTTTGTTTTGTTTTTTCACAGAGAGTTGTGTAAGGATCTGTTCAAGAAATGGTCAAAATTGGATGATTCTTGGTTCTCTGTAGAAAGAGTATCCGGTGGCATCACTAACTTGCGTGAGTTTTTTCGAGGATTGATTTTAGTGGTTTTTACTTTTTCCTCTCTCTCTCTCTCTTCTTTTATTTTTTATGAATTTTCTGTTTTAACTCATGTATGCAAAAATTATTAGCGCTTGGATTCCTTAAATAAGAATCAAACATCAAATTTTCATGCAGTTCTGAAGGTTTCAGTGAAGGAAGAAAATGGAAATGATGTTTCCGTGACTGTAAGATTATACGGGCCCAACACCGATTATGTTATCAATCGTGAACGGGAATTGCAGGTGCATTTGCTAGTTTATCTTATATGAATATTTGTAATAATGTTGTAAAAAAATAGTTTGATTCTTGTAGCTTCGTTTCTTTTATGTTAAAGACACTGTGATATTGTATATATTTTTGTACTCGTCTGTTGTCAATTTTACATTGAGACTTAAAGAAACTAAAAGGATGTCAATTTCGCAAGGAAAATGAAGCCATACTAGGATAAATGTTTTATTGGTGTGCTTAATGCAAACTTTGTCCAAATTAAATTGTGCTTCTTGTATTTCGTTTTAGCTTATTTAGCCTTTTTATGTAAAATTGGTGACCTTTTTTGTTGCCTGCTTCATTTTCTGATTCTTCACCACTATTGCTTTTAGGCTATCAAGTACCTCTCGGTTGCAGGATTTGGTGCCAAGTTGCTTGGAGTTTTTGGAAATGGCATGGTTCAATCCTTCATCAATGCACGAACATTGATTCCATCAGGTAAGCAGAAGAAGTTCATATGCTGCAGTGATTCCACGAAATCTTGCTCTTGGATGCTCTTTTTCAATAGTTCAATATGTGGATTAAAAAACTTTGGATTGGCTTGTTGTATTTAAGAGTTGGAACCTTTTCGGAGTTCCCCGGACTTGCTTACAGCTTTGTTCTGAAATTGAAGGGGCCATCTTTTAGACCCTCTTGAAATTATACTCCTATGCTGTCAGCCAATTCTGATAAAGATCCTTCATTCTCTTTTGAAAGCTTTGTTCTTATCTTAATTATATAGTATTATTAACTTCTCATTGAAATTGCTTCTTAACCTTTTTTTTTTTTTTTTTTTTTGGGTTTGGGGAAAGCATTACTAACATCATTATCTATTTATTTCATTTCCATTACCTTCAAACTTTGCGCTTAAAAACAGAGGTCATTCTCATGAATTCAAGCATTTGCATTTTCAAGGTGTCAGGGACCTGTCACCTCTCTCCTGATATGGTTTTAACCTATTTTTAATTCCTTGGCAGACATGAGAAATCCAAAGCTGGCTGCTGAAATTGCAAAACAACTGCACAGATTCCACCAAGTGGAAATTCCAGGTTCTAAAGAACCTCAGTTATGGAATGAGATCTCCAAGTTTTTTGAGAAAGGTTTTCTTCTCTTTTATGAATTGCTAGCCGTCATAAATATTTTAATCTGGATTTCAAGTTTCAATGTTTATTAGTTTTTCTAAATTAAATGCTGATTGCATGATATTGGTATCATTTTTGAGTTGCCTCCTTTTTGCAGCATCGGCTCTTGAATTTGATGATATTGAGAAACAGAGGATGTATGAGACCATTTCATTTGAGGAAGTTCAAAAAGAAGTTGTTGAACTCAAGGTAGTCCTCTATATATTGTGAGCTTATTTCTAATTCTGCTTTATTGTTGGCTGAAGTGAGGATGAACAGAAGCTAGCATCTCTGTCTGCCTCTAACCTGGCTTCTTCATAAAATTGTGTGTTATCAACATGTTTAGTGGACCTTACAGGTCAAAGTTGAAGATTTTAACCCCGAGTGGTTCCAAATTTCATTAACCTTAATGTCACTCAGCCTATGGTGTACTTTTATGGGGACTAAGCTTGAAAATGCATGATTTTCCACCATAATTTTGCGTAGTGATGCTGTATGACAACTTACCGAGTCCTTGCAGTGGTAAGATAAATGCAAATCGGAACCACCCACTTGTGGCCGGATGGATAGAGGGGTGCATGGTTGAAAGCACCCCCCCCCCCACCCCGGCCGTTCTTGAGTTCGAGTGGGTCCAAGGGGTGGCCAATTACCATACCTTAAAAAAAAAATGCAAATCATCTAACAACATAAAATAGAAAAAAACATTAATAAAATCAGACTTTACTTGATCATACATCATTTTTTAATCCTGACTTTGGATGATGTGGTCTGTTTCAAGGTTCTAACTTGCATCACCTCCAAATAAGGATTTACTTTATTTTAAAGGCTGAGGGAGTATTAGGATGCACAATGCAGAAGACACTATATGCCCAGAATCATTGTTGAATCTCTTTATCATTACCAATCTTTTTTCTATCCTATTATTGTTCCATGGTTGCATGCAACCGTGGAAAATAATTTGGAAGATTGGTTTGTGTTAAGGGATGACCATTTTACAATTGGTACCCAAATGCTCTTGTTGGTTTACACTCCCCTTCTACTCATTTTGTGCCTTTTTATTGATAAATTAAGACCTTTATCCTATTTATGAGGTATTATTTCCTGATAATTGAACAGGAATTGACAGGACTTCTAAATTCTGCAGTGGTGTTTGCTCATAATGACTTGCTTTCTGGGAATATAATGGTTAATGATGAAAAAGGTGAGACAAACACTTTTAGTTACTTCATTCCTTTATGGCAGAATAGATGTTCTATTGTTCGTTAGATATGTTTATTTTTGGTCGACATCTCTTATTATTTATACTTCTCATGTTTCAGTGACAGTTCTAATTACTCTTCATTCCCTCTTACATGCAGCCACACAGATACACATATGCACACACCCCCCTGAACCTCTTGAGTTTTGAAGTTGATAATGCATTTTATTGTTGCTTTATTAAGTTCAAAAGTTCTTAGTTTTGCCAGATTTGTATCAGTTATTAACAACCCCAAAATGTGTGTTATATATACCTTGAAAGTCTTTTGTAGTGTACATATAGTGGGTTGCTATCCTACTGGATGGCTTCATAAGTGGTATGTTATCTAGTACAATTAGGGTAAATTTACATTGACCTTTCTTGAGCTGCTGCATGGTTTGAACATTAAGCGTAGGCAAGATATATATTTACCTTAGAAGTGAGACTTAAGCCAAGTATTGGGGTGTAAGTCTATGGAACTTTAAATTGATAACATATGGAACCATGGAACTTATAGTCAAGAGATATTTTCTAAAAAGTGTCGGACGTAGGCTGCATCATGACACAGGATTTTACCAATTTGATAAAACATTATATAAGTTTTATTTTGATTATAATTGGTGAATTTTTATATTAACTTTTACATTTATCATGGTAATGATTTATGAGATGTTCAAGTCAGTGGCCTCCAAAGTCCAAACAAGATAAAATATGTGGGTGTCTGCCTGAAAATGGTCTGACATGCATAAAATGATGAAAGCTGATGCTAAATATTTAATTTTTCTGGAATTGTTTCTATTCTTCTCTTACTGACTTTGTTCTTTCTTTGATGAATTTCCAGAGGAACTCTACTTGATTGATTTTGAGTATGGGTCATACAATTACAGAGGCTATGACATTGGAAATCACTTCAGTGAATACGCAGGCTATGATTGTGACTATAGCTTGTATATTCCTTTTCTTATTTTCTACTTGTTTGTATCTACCTTTCAATTTTGGCGATAGCATAGAATGATATCTTATTAATGATTTGAATGTGGCATTCATGTAGATACCCAAATACAGATGAGCAATATCATTTCTTCAGGCATTATTTACGACCGGACAAACCTGATGAGGTATTTGAGACAGTGAACTTATTTTTTCGGCTGCATTAAAGATTATAAATATCTTTAAAATGTTTTCAGGTTTGAGGTACTGGCCCAAAATGAAGGATATTTATTTTTGCTTGAATTATGCATGCATGAAATTCATGAGCTCGATAAAGAAAAAAAATGTTAATTTTTTGTGAGCCAAAAAACATTGGAGCCATGGTTTAATATAATAAAAAGGCACCTGAGTATCTGTTTGCGTGTGTGCGCTGTTCATGAAATGCTCAGTTTTGAATGTATGAAATAGAAATTTAAAATCAGATTGTCATCTGCAAAGGTGGATGCTTGTCAAAATTTTGTCCGTATAAATCCAAAGTGGGATCTGTAGGCATAGACACAGCTTTTCGTGGTTGCAACATACTTCACAAAGACTGTTGTCATCTGATCAAACATGTTTATTATTATTAATTTTTTTCAAGCCGGTAAAATTCTGGGTTTGTTCTTTTTTTGTTAATAATAGGTATCCGACGAAGATCTTGAAGCTCTGTATGTTGAGGCAAATACATTCATGTTGGCTTCACATATATTTTGGGCTTTATGGGCGCTAATCCAGGTATTTTACTGCCCTAGCTTTGTTTGTCAATCTCTAAACACCCATCATTATGAGCGCTAATCCAGGTATTTTTTTATGGTTATAGGCAAAGATGTCTCCGATAGATTTTGATTATCTTGGCTATTTCTTCCTGCGCTACAATGAATATAAAAGGCAGAAAGAGAGATGCTTCTTGCTTGCACAATCATACCTCTCAAAATCGAATAGTCGCTGAATTACCCATCATTAGGTTCTGTATGTTATCAGAGCTGTGATATTCTAGGGAGATATTCCTTGTAAAACAATCTTTTGTAGCTGTTTAAAGAAAAAGAAAGTTGAAAACAAATATGAACAAATAAATTTCTAGTGGCTCTCTGATTCGTTCTTCTTGTAATTCATAAACTTGATTTAGTTAATTTGTTTGTATTCATTTCCATATGCACTGAGATGGATCCAGTTGAAGATATGCTCATAACCGAATTGGTTTACATTCTCTATGGGCAGTGCAAGTTTCCGCACATGAAAAATTAATTGACAACAGCTGCAGCACTACAACAAGAACAAAACGTAATCATTTAAACAAAAGGCTCGTTAATTAACATGTAAAAGTTGTATATGATATAAATATTTGTAAAACTACAACTAGCAAACATATACTCTCATCCATCCAGCAGCTCTCATTGTATGTATAAATCTTTAAATTCCAATAGGAATCCCAAAGGGTGTACAAGGCATCATTTCATGGCCTGCAATATTTTGGTCTCTCCGCTCATCAAATTTAAGAGACATTAACAGCATAAAAACCAGAGAGCTCAACTCTCGAGGCAATACAATTTACAGTCATTATGCTATAAGAACCTGGCAATGAACAATGTGACTTTTCAGGCGGTTCCTCCCAGCAATGCTTGACCATAGGTTTGTAACTAATGTCTTAAATTGACCTTTCCCTGATATGGTCTCCCAAAGATGTTCAGCAGAAGCTCCTCTCACACCATCGGATTTTGAAACATCAACCAGAGATATACTCATATTATTGCGGATTATGCAAAGTTTTCCATTAAGTGGAACAAGAGCTGCCGCCTCCAAAGCTCGAGAGTTCCCCAAATGCATCTTACTGTCGATATACTTGCTCCAAGAATCAGTCACTTCATCATAAACCCTGAGTTTGCAGCCGTCCTTGCAGTCCAAAGCATAGAGATGTCCATTTAGGGAAGCACTTGGGTTTCTCCATCCAGTAACCATTCCATCATATACAGGGTACCAACTGTCAGTTTCTGGTTGGTAGACCTCACTAAGAACCTGACGGTGAGATCCAAGCCCCTTTAAGAACCACTTCCCCTCATAAACAACCCCAATGAAGGGCACCATTGCTGTGCTCATATCTGAAATGAAAGACCATCTATTCTTGTTTGGATCATAAACTTCTGCTGATCTCAAGGACCGATGTGCTCCCCCATTCTCCCCACCAGCAACATACAAGCAATTATTTATGACACAAGAACCAAAAAAATGTCGCCTGCGAAGCATATCAGGGGCACGGTGCCATTTATTAGTCCTGGCACTATAAAAAATGACTCGTCTCATTGATCCTTTTAGCGGGTCTTTACCACCAAACAAGTAAAGGTGACAGCCACTAAGAACAGCACAACCAAACCCTAGGGCTTCAGAATATTCCTTAGGGACAGGAGGCAGAGGCTGCCAAAGCTGGTATATGGGGTCAAAAGCATGCCATGAGATTTTCCCATCTCGATCTCTCTTAATGACATATATCCATTCCTCTGCAATCCCAAGGCTTTTCCGAAGCGAGTAAAAGAAGTTACCTGACAAAAGACGGCACCATCTTTTGCAGACTAAACGGAGCTTACGGTGCTCGACCCTTGGGACTCGTATCAGACAAGCAATAGCAAGATCATCAGGAAGCCCTGGAAGCAAAGGAGATTGGTTTCTGCTTCGGCTGCCACTAGGTGGCTTGTTCCTAGTTGGATGAATAGATGGTTTAATGTCAGGTTGAAGACACAGCCTTGTCCCAGGAACATATTTTTTTGCTCCAGCAACAGTTTTGAGGCCTGCATCTACTCTACACAAACACGCAGTTGTATCAACCTGCAAAAACACATGTATGAGAATTACTGACCTGGCTACTTTATAACATAAAAAGCGTCTATGCTAGAGCCAGTATTAGGTGCAACTATGCACCTATAAATGCATAAGTTCTTTCATTCACTCTCCAACGACAGAAAAAAGAAAATCCACCAACTAGTAAGTAATCTGGAGCACTTGCAGCATCTGAAGTATAAAACTAAAAACCATAATGACTCTAATCAGAGACCAGAATCTTAACACAAACAAAATTTGCTGATATTTCAATTTCTATCTTCAAAATAGATTTGAAGTACAACTGAATAGATTCATCTTTGTGAAGAAATCAAACTATTTATAAATTATGGACACAACTAGACTAATCTCATGAACAAGAGAAAATATACAACAGGTATAAGCCTAGCAACAAAAACAAGCACAAAAGAAAAAAGGGGCATACGAATTCAGAGCTCACATAGTGATGCCTCTATCAATTCAATGGCCAGAGAGAATATCACAAAAGCCTGAGACTCAAGGAACTTAAGCATCAGAGGAAAAATACAAGATTGGAAGGTACAACTAGTCAAATACCATCTCTACTTAGAAAGTATATATCATTAACACAATCCTGAAATCAATGTTGCATCATATACAAGAAAGTGAGAACATCAAAAAGATTTACCAGTAACTAAAAAGCTTGCTACGGTATACTTGTCTATATTACAATAATGGAGCTCAAAAGAAATCCTTTGAATCGCTCAACTCCTGCTATAACAATATCAAATGCCTACCAATGCTCAAATTCAGGACAACAAAACTTTATCCAAAACTATATACCTCAGGAGAAGGTATTAATAGTGTTTGGAGCACTTAAGAAGTTGCAGCCATTTGATTTCGTTTCAATTCGCAGCTGGAATCAATCAGATATCCGAATTTTACAGGATGAGCAACCTAGAATCGATAAAGAGAGTTGATACAGCTTATCTTTTATCAACCGTAGATTAATTATTTCAAAAATTCATGATAATGATCTTCAGACAGGAGAAAACTTTCTCCAACTTGTTAAAATAAAATCGAGGCTAAAGTGGATTTGGTGGGTTGATGGTTACACGTCTTCAGAAGTTAGAAAACATAGATGGGTACACAATCAAACAACATGAACCACCAAAACCCTAAAACTATGTGCAAGGATCAAGCAGCACCGAAATTTAAAAACCACAAAAATGAAAGTCACCGATTAAGCATTACATTGCTATATGTCAGCCGAAAGGTAGACAAAGAATTTACCAGAGGAGGTTGAATCATTCTGTCCATTTTCGTCCTTCAAGAACTTGCCGAAACCAGATTTAACACCACCAAAATCAAGTTCTTATCTTTCACTCATCATTCGTACACAAAACATACGGAAAAAACAAATGCATAAGTCCACGTTGAAAATTCGCCGATTTTCCCAATTCCCAGATCAAAAAGCCCGTAGTTAAGCAAAAATCGGTTCAAGAAGACAAAAAAGTCAGAGATATATCCCAGAGTCAAAACCCATGAACTACAGTCAACCACAGTTGATCACAACACAAACCCAACATCATTACTGCATTATATGCAAAACCCATCACCAAAATCAACAACCCAAACGGAGACGCCTCACAAGATAAACTACCATACCATAGTTTCTAAAGAGAGAAAACAGAAACTGCAGAAGCTTATCTTGTCATAAAACTATAGGAAGAAAAACGAGATAAATGGGAGACAGCAAGAAAATGGGGGCAAGGCAAAGAGAGAGCACTGAAAGAGGAGATAGAGACCATTAAACTTGAGTGGAGTTGAGGGCCCATGAGTTCAATGGCACAACGAACCAAGCAGAAGAGCGTGTAATTCAAGAAGAGAGAGAGAGAGAGAGAGGGGAAAAGCAAAACCTAAACCATTATAAAGGAAGAATAGAAGGATGAGTTGTGAATTATGAGACTTTGGTGGTTGTTTTTATTAGTAGAAATGAAGAACAATATGAGAAGAAGATTGCAAGATAGCTGTTGTTTGAGACTTGGGCAAACCAAACCAGCACTAGAAAAATAAGTATCAATATCTATTTATTTAAAATAAGATATAAAAAATAAAACAATAAATAATTGGCCCCACAACTCAGAACTCCACTAAAATGTTTTTAATTTATACCCAAAAAAAAAAAAAAAGAGTTTCTAGTAAGTGTGACCCACCGCATTTGATACATGTTGTCTATAAAGGGTAAATTGGTAACTGTAAAATGGTTTATGCTGATGAAGTGATGATCAGAATGGGCCATGGGAAGTAGATTTTACGTAAAAATTTATGTGATTGGAGTATGATAACCTCTTTTCTTTTCACTCCTAATTATTGGTTACAAGTTCATTGAATTGAATCACTGGTTGTAGTTTACAACATTAATGCGGTTGATTACTGAATCCAATCTACATTGGATTAAACAAGATTACATGACATTAAATATCATCATCATTTTTTTTCACCCTATATGAACTTTTAAAATACCATTTTACTATTAAATTTATATTCTGATGGTGAACAAAGATAAATTTGTCAAAACTGTTGAGACTTTTGAAGAGGGCGGCCAGTGAATCTTTTGATGGTGGAAGATTGAATTTTGATGGTTGAGATTGATCAAATTTGACTTTGGGGATAGCCATATGAATTTTAATCTCAATTGCTGACGATGATGGAGTCGATGAGAGTAGAGTTTGAGGAGTTTTGGTGAATGATGATCAAGAAAGAAAATGGTGATGTGTGGGGTGTAACTATACAAATTAAACATAAATAATTAAGTATATAAGATGATATTTTAAAAGTTTGTTGTGGAAAAGTGTTAACCATTATTTGGGTGGAAAAATATCGTTTACTCTTTATTAATACCCCAAATCCCATGTATAATTAGACCAAATTGGGGACATGGGATTCTCATTGATCCCATAACTCTTTATGTAAAGAATATTCGATAAAGTTAGGGTATATAGACAGAATGAGATCATATTAATTAGCAATAATAAATTATTTATACGTTAAATAAATTGAAGTGAGCATCTCAGCATCATAAAACTGACCAAATACTACATTTAATCTACCCTTTGAATGAGGGGGGGGGAAGTTGAGAAATTATTATCTGTCTATAGAAAACAAAGAGATGAGCCTGGATATGGTGACTGAATGAAGCCATTACCATTAACATTATAGCCTTCAAGTTTATAACTATAACTATGCGTGTGGATATGAGAATTGAAGTCTAAGCAATAAATACTGAACTAGATGCCAGGCCATCATTATAAGAAGTTATAGTTATTGAAGGAATTGAAACATTTTTCAAAGTGTTAAGCTATCGTAGTGTCTAGAATACGCTACTCTCCGTTTAAGTGTGGGGAAGAAGAGTGTGATTCGGAATAGACAATTCAGTGGAATTTAAGAGGTTTGGGCGATCAACAAGTAATTTTTTTTTTTCTATGAGAATAGTTATGTTGTGGTGGTTTAGGCACCAATAATTGATACGTGCGCAACGTTGATTGGATCAAAGAACACACGTAAATATAGATTATGAATATGAAATAAATGCAATGAGAGGTTTTTAAAGTGGTTCGGATGCTAGGTGTAAATCCTATATCCACTGATGTATTAAATAGTGGGTCAGGTCGCTAAAGCGGACTGACTTACAAATGATTGAAAAGTAAATACCAAGCCTCTTTTAAGAGGGAGAGAAAGAGTTAAATGTAAAAATGATCGAAATCCCCTTAATGAAGGGGTCTTCCTCTTCTTATACCAAGCTGAATGCGTGTAATCATCATTAAATCCTTGGGTTGGTGTGAATGTCAGGACATAATCAGGCTTTACGTCCCATTACCCATTTCTCAAGCCGATTTTACGCGATTTGGAGCAGGTAAGCGGACACGTGGGAGCTCTAGGGCGCTTGGCAGGCCTGACGTGCGCTTACCGTTCTGACGGGAGCAGGCCACGTTTCGTCATGTGACTCCACGTCAGCCCTTGATTTTCCAGGCATAACAGTTTATGATCATGTTGGAGACTGGTGAGACTTTGGTGAACACTTACATTCTGCAGGGTTCTACTTCTACCAGAGAAAAAATGGTGATTGGAAGTTTTGAGATTGATATTGATTGATGGTAAAGTGGTGCAAGTAAGTTTGTCGATTTCAAATGAAGTTAGTGAGCACGAAGGGAAAGACCATGTGTGTACCATTGAAATAATAGAATAGAATAGGGTATTACTTTGGATTTTATCGTTTTCTTTTAAAAGTCTTCAACCTTTTGCTTTTATAAACTCTTTGGTTAGACAAATGAGAGGTTTGGGACACCTGAGATGAACAAGGTGGTTCATATTCAAAGACATAGTTGCATTCCATTAGTGATATATATTATTCTCTTTTTAGCTCCATACTGTTTGTAAAAGACAAGTATAACTTTATTTCGGCGCCTCACTATCTTAAATGCCTAATTTTATAAGAATTTCAGTGTGTTATGATGAGTTTGATGTAAACTCACACAACTATTCACAGCACTATGGTTGGAATTGGAATTATGAAAGCTTCACCTTTTCCTTTTTAGAGAGGAGACGTTGAAACATGTCTTTCTCAACTTGGGGGACACGACATGGTTGAGGTCTTTGTGGGGTTTAAGTAAAAGTCTTTCAGGTGGGGTTCACTTTCTTATTTTTTTCACCTTTTCTCATGCATGCATAAGCAATAAGCATAACATTCTTATTAATCCAATTAAAAAAAAAAAAAAAAGTAGTGGATACAAATCGGGATTAACCATAATAATCTACATCTCTGTTCATGGAAAACGACTAGTTTCAGTTCAACAACTAGCCAGAACCAGAATTGACTGTTGGGATTATTTATTAAACCAGAGATTTGTATGTTTCTAGAATGGGGTGAAGTTTAATTAAGGGTGAATGTTGAGGTTAAAGATCACAGATGTCGGCCAAACCTATGACTCGTTCAATTTAGTTGGCAGAAGGAAAAGAGTTGTTAAACATAATCTTAAATGCATTGACTAAATACACCAACAACTAAATCCAATTTTTATAGAATACTTGTTGATATGTTTGTGTCTTTAGTGCTCCTCCAATATACAGATGTTGTTTATATGTTTGTCTTTGGTGCTCGTCTACACAGGGAAAGGATCACAAAACAGTCAAGAAAAGGGAAGCATTAGGTAGAGACAGTAGTGATGTGTATTGGAGTTTAAAAACTTACCTTCAGATTTATAAGGTGGGTGAGATGAAAATTGGAATAATCATAATGGTAATGGATGCCTTTGGCATTGCTGATAAGTTGACCACCACCCACGAGCTGTTTCCGCGTGTTGAACATCTATCTATTTTATTCTTCCCAACATCATAAAGGTGATAAAGGGTACTGTCAATGCTTTACAAAAGCAAACTCACTTGATTATTGCTCACATTATTTGACCAGTTCACAGACACACACTGGAATTGTACCCAGTCAATCTGGGCTCTGTTTATTTCGTTGATAAATCAATTATCATTGGAAACTCTTCAGTATTTCTCAGAAGTTTTAAATTATCACTAACTGTCTTCCCTGTCCATAACGATCAATTTGAACTTATCAGATTCAGACTGTGACGTTAATATATTGAATTCATTCTAAAATTCTCTTGAAAAAACAAAAGGCAGAATGCAACTACAGATGATTAAAGGAGGTTTAGTGAGAGGGTGCTAACATCAAATTAAGAACTATAAATGAAATCACACCTTCCTCTTCCAAAGATGAACTATTTCCAGTGTGCCAGAGAAAACATTGTATGACTAAGTGTAGAACAAATACCAAAGAATGTCATCTAAAAATCTCAAGATTTCTATGACCAAATGAATCCTGCTAGAACTCCTACAAAATGAGGAAAAAAAAAAAATAACCTATTGTGGTAAAATTCTGAGGTCACACCTACTCAAAGTGTGTATCATCAAGGTAACATGTATAAAAACTGATTGTTTAAATGACAATCAGCTTTGTCGTCATCAGCACTGATAGGATATAGCAATAACTGGTCTGTGGGCATAACAAAGGGGAATGACATTGATACGCAAGAAACCGGTGCCATCACCATCCACGTTTATGATAACATCTCTTCATCTAAGTCGGTATCATTTCTTACATCGTCTCAGAAACTCTAATCTATGCGGAACATATCATTTTGTGGTCTGAATGTTCCAATCATGGAATGGGGGAATATAACCATGCAAGCCATAAACAAAGTGAACTGCAGTAAAATAAACATAAATTAGCAAGGCTCCACAACCACCTAAAACAGTTTACCGAACTGGTAAGTGGGAATACATACCAAGAGAGGGAGGGTCAAGAAACTCCAAATTGGCCACAAAGCAAAAGAGAGCCTGATTTGAGAAGTAAGTCAGCAAAGTAGATACAGCAGTCTTATAACAACAGCACATGATCAACTTTAAAAGAAAAATAAAAAAATTTGGGTCCTCTTACAGGCAAAAGGAGACAAGGCCAAGCAGCGTAACAAATGGCAAAGCAGACATACTGAATAATTCCCATTTTTCATCAAATCTCCTGACGCTCCATATTAACATACTTGAATAAAAGAAGAAGGTAACATTCAATCCAAAACACAACAGTCCAAGGTATAAAGGCAATCTGCAACAAAATCAAAAGACACTCATCAACAAACAGACAATTTCTCAATCCTGAGCAGAAACTACTATACCAGAAGAAAAAAGGGTTCTCGCAATGTCCATTGGAGATTGAGAAATCATCCAAACAAATTTATTGCCATCATAGCCATTCTCGGGATATAAAAGTAGCCACTCGACCGTGAAGTTAGTAACAAAGAAGAAAATTACATCATACAAAATTCAGAATATTACGTGGATTTTTTAAAAATGGGATCCTCCGCTTTATACCACCAAAAAGTTAATTGAAAAAAAGTTAACCTCATGCAAATCATTCATACACAATTTACCAAGGAATTGATTGAAAGTTGGATCCAACACTTTTTGATTAAAAAGATATTCCTAGCTATATGAAAGTTGAAACAACTATCTAACATTTGAATGATTTTATGATAGTTCTGAGAAACTTTTAGAAGACTGAGGTGTGCGACTTAACCTTCATGAAACCTCCAAATTTATGATTACTAACTTACTGAAAACTGAAATATTATTCTGATACCTACAGAGCAAGATGCCACTTAATTATTGCGATACTATGGTAAAACAATTCATAGTGATCAAGCCACACAGGAGTGGCATAAATGAATTGCATTAACCAGATAACATTTGAGCTGAAATTCCCCAAGAAGTACCATTAGTTTTCCTACTACAAGAATTGCATACTTCAGATGCCATAGTTGTATATGGAAAAAATTCCTGTTAGAAGTTAAGACTTTAGGTGGGAACCAAACTGATCCTGAGATTCTTCCTAAGAATTCAATTCAGATGCCCTTAAAGACCTAATCTTGATTTGATTATTGACTGATCTCTGCAAGAATATTACTTCAAGTTAATTCTATTTTTTAAAATCATGTGACTGAGGTTATCATAAGAATCTTCACCAAGTTATAGAACATCAAGCTTCACCACTAAAAATGTGGATCAATGCAGCAAGACTGTAATGTGCAGCACATGGGGAAAACAAGTAGTAATCCATGCGCTTCCGGTGTTAAATATCAGATTATTTTGAAGATCAAATCATCCAAGTTCAAGATAACTTTTAAATTTACGCTTTTTAGGGCAAGGGTGTAGGCAACCCTAAAGATTTTCCTAGAACGAGGCTAGCCTCTTTCCCTTGTTAAGCAGGGAGCTTCACTTAACCTGTAACACTTGTTCCAACTACCTGGGGCTATCTCTACCAACAGAATATTCTGGCTTTTTTCTTGTGCATTTAACCAAATAAGCTAGATTGGAAGGCTTTCTTCTTGTGCATTTAACTGAATAAGCTAGATTGAAGTCGCTTCTTCTAACTGGTGCATTTAAGTTATTGTGCCAATTTGGATATTAACAAAGAAGATCACCTCTTACCATCTTCCTATAGCCATAATACAGAAAATAACTGTTCACATAAGATATATATCAATTTATGTAACTCTGCTATTGTAAATAGAAGAATCTATGATAACAAAAAATTTCTTCAATAGAAGTTATTTGTACTATATGTTTATCTCAATACCTTCTCAACCTATTACCATATTCTGTAACTTGTTATTACACCTCCTTTTTTATTACTTTATTACATATGAGCAAGTTACGTCACATAAAATTCCAAAACTAAATTAACAGTGAAGGAACATTGGCCACTCATATTAATCAGCATTGTCATCCCATTGTCCTGAAATGTAGAAAGAATCTTATACCTAAACTTAAACTTTAATGCACATGCATACTACAAAAATATTCCAAAAAACTCCAACCAACAGTCTTTGAGATGTCTTGTTCTACTCTCCCAAAAATCGCATGTAATTCCAAACATTTACACCGTCGGAATTATAACTTTCAAATAAAACCAAAACATAATTTAAACAATGAAAAAGGCGATGAACAATTGAAATAAAAACAAAACAAGTAAAAACATGAAACTAACCTTCTAATTCTGTCATCGTGCCATAGAAGATAGATAAAATTGGAATGGCGATCACCATAGTAAATAATGAAAAGAGCTGAAGCAATCCAAAGCGCGTTCTCCAAAATCTCAAGCCAAGTCCTCGGTCGACTAGTTGGAGGTGAGAAAGGTTGGGGCCTAGAGCACGCATCATCTTCAAGGTCATCACCACTCGACGCATAACCCTGACTATGCCTTTGCCTCATATATCCACCGCCAACTGGTGTCCCACCAGACATTATTCCCCCACAAAAACTATAAACTCACTTAATTCTTTGCAAAATTTGAGTTAATATCCAATGCAAGTAACGTCTTTGTCAGTAAAATTCTAAAAGCTCAATGCTGGAATCATTTTTTTTTTTTTACAAAAAAATCAATCTGTTGAGGTATCTTGCTCGTGTTTAAAACCCATAAAAGAAACTAAAAAAATCCTCACAGAAACCCAACTCAAGAGTGAGACCATTAACATAAAAAGAAAATAAAACAAGAAAGAAAAAGGAAAAAAAAAAAACTGAGTATGGAGCCCCAATACTAGAATTTAGACAAACCCATAAGGAGCCCCGTAATATATCCAAACTCCAAATTTCAAATTGAAATTCTCTTCGATACCCACGGAGAACTTGCTTCGGTTTCACCGGTTCCAGACCAGCAACTAATTAATACAGAGGGGAAAAAAAAAAAAAAAAAAGAAAAGAAAAGGGCCACTAAGTCATTTGCAGTAATACATAGTGAGAGAGTGTTTTGTGGTTTTTGTTGATGACGAGAGAAGAGGGGGATCTGTATAGTATAATAATGCCAGAATATTGAAGAATAAAATAGATTTGATAGGGGGGCACGGCAAAGGCATCAATGGTGTGAGAGGTGATTCCTTTCGTGTGCCTTTTAAGAATGAAAATATTTTATTTTCTTTCGATAACTTATGAAGGTTTAAATGTTGACTTAGGGGGATAATTATCGGAATTAAGTCAAATGATGATTGATGATGGGAGTATCAGACGGCTTAAGGCATGTGATTGTGAACGTGCGGAAGCTGGGCGCGTGTCTAACGTTGATTCTTAAGAATCTGAAATGTCAAGGTAGGATTGGTTTTGAGTAATGGTAGGGGTAGGATGGATTCAGGATGGATTCTTCTGCCTGCTTAATGCGTTGCTGCCTAACCAGGTAAAGGTAAACATTCGGTGGATTAGATTAGACTTGAGTTTGATTTCTTATCTCTCCTTTAACCTAATCCCCTTTTTCTCAAAATTTATTATTCTTCTTCTTCAGTTTTGCATCATCCATGTATCCAAGTAATGGATGTAGTTAGGAGACATGCAGGGTCTCAAGTTAATATAAAATGAATGACCATGATGATTTCTTTGTGAATAAGGTTTATTCGTTTATTTGGTTTCCAGGTAACTATAAATTCCGTCAGAAAGAAGATATGAATAATGAATGGCTAATTTCCCAACTAACGGGAGAAATTATTTGAATATAGTCATCACTCTTCCATCAGTTTTGTTATCATTACCCAATGACAAAATTACTTGATAAGAAAATAATATATGTAAACATATTATACAGTAAACATAGAAGAACCAAAAAAAAAAAAAAAAATTAATTTTCGTTAATACGTGGGTGAAAGAGATGACTAATGGCTTCCACCTCCACACAAGCTAACCATGTCCATCAGTGTTGAATATAACACATCCAGAGACAAATGGCCCAAGAACTTCCGATAATCTGAAACACCATCGCATATGTCTGTTCGAAGTTTTGTCTCCTCTGAAAAAGCCTCCTCCATTACCAGCCACCATGAAATGCATCCATTGATATCTTCTGGGTCCACATGAGCAACCAAGGTCACTGTTTCACCTTGCTCCAGCTCAAAGGACAAACATAGAAAATCACGATTTGCTTTAATCCCCACCATAAGAGCTTCCTCGTGTAGCCAACGAATAACTTGGCTTGCAACCTATTGTCAAAATTAAAAGACAACCTCAAATCAGTCCACAATTTTTAGCAAAACATGTTCGCTAGTGCATAATCATTCAATAAACATAAACTTTCACCCTTTCTTTGTATTTTTAAACAAACCAGAAGAAGAAAATCTAAAAGGGTAAACTGGTACCAATACATTCCAAAATTATTCAAATCTATGGCATCAATAATTTACATTTATTACAAGCCAATGCAAGCAACTAGAAATTTAATGTGTCAAAACTGTTTGTTCTCTTAACATAAAACATACTTCACTAAATCAAATTCAAACAAACATCCTAAGAGTAAGATAATAATACTAAGCAAATGTGCATAATTTCAACCAATATTGATACATCCAGGCAGGGGTGGATAATAGGGATGGCAAAATGCCCCATGGGGTTTGGCACCCCTGGAGAACCACCTCTATTGGGGTGGGGATGAGGGAGTTAATTTAGGTAATGAAGTGGGTTTTGGGAGCAAATTAATTCCTCATATAGAAATGGATAGGGGATGGATTTAGTATTCCCCACCTCGAACCCGCTCCATTCCCCATTATAAAATTACATATAAAATATTTTTTACTATATAAATATAATTATTATAATAATTTGAAATTGTTGTATATTTTTTTATTTCACATTTTAGAGGAATGAAGTCTTAATGATTATTGTGGAAGAGAAGTCAAGAAGACAGTGGGAAATATATGATCTATGACACATTAGAAATTATTTTACAATTTATTTATTTTTTCTTAATTGTTTTAGCTATGACATATTTATTTAAGCTTTTTCCTTTTTAATATTGCTACAATATATTATGGTTATTTTTATTAGAACATTAATACTATATAGTAATGGTTTACTTAATTATAATGTTATTCATTTTTTATGTGATTATTTATATATAAATAAATTGGGGAAAGGAGTGGGTTTGGGGAACGCAATCCCAAATGTGGGGATTCCCTATAACCGCCCTGCTTAAATAATTTGGGGAAGATGGGGAATGGAGACCAAAATCCTAAGTGGGGTAGGGAATGGAGGAGGCCTCCCCACCCCATTGCCATCCCTAGTGGATATACTGAATTGCCAGGGGAGGCACCGACCCCCCAAAGACCCGAATCTTTTTCTTGTTTGGGAAAAAAAATTGAACCTAAAACTCTTAAAGCCTAGACCCACCCATGCATCCACTTCACATAACCAAACTAGAATGGTAGATCTCAGAAACAAAGGTAGATAATTAATATATATATATCCTATGTAAAGGCAATACAGCAATTGGTAAGAGAGAAAGAAGAGAAAATGAAACAAGATGAAGTAGTGACCTACCTGCTGTAGAATTATCACAGGAAGATCTGCCAAGTCACAATCATATTTGTTGATAGAAGATATATCTTCAGATCTCTCTTTAAACAAGCCGACAACATTAGGAGTGCCTTCGCCTTCGACATTGATGCGATTATCATTTACCACCACCTTAGTCCGAAACTGTGACTTACCAACATTCTTCACACCATGGATTTCTGTTGTCTGGAGTTGAGCACCACCATGAAGAATGGACAGAGGAACCTTTAAAAAGAGTGTCCATGAAGATGTTCGAGAATGCCAAGTAGGATGGGATATCAATTGGAGATATGGGACCCCACAAACCTAGAGATTACAAAGAACATAAATCAAGGACACTTTCAACTATAAATGGAAAGTGAAAAGTAGTTAGTAGTACATGTCCAAGAGACAAGGACAATACCACATTTTCCAGTTCCATGTGAACTTTGTTAGAAAATATTCTATGAGCCAATGACATGCAGAAATGACCAAGAAGACCTGACCCATCCTTTGATTGTTGACCAATTGCTCGAGTACCAGTCGAAATGGATCTATTTTTATCTCTTACATATAAATGCTCATGAAAAATCTGTTGCAGATAAATTTCATAACAAACACGATTAGGATAACCCCGTCTCTTTTTCAAACTATCATCCTTTTCTTCAGATAACTTGACTCCATCTAATGATTCCAGAGGTAAAACTGAAGATTCCACCTTCTGGGTACCCGAACTGTTAACTTTTTGATCACCCTGACTGGCTGGTGTAAGTGATATGAACACAGAGGTTCCCTGACCAATGCCTAATTGCAGATAATTTTCTTGAATTCCAGTGAGATTGACTCCTAATGATTGTTTAAAAGCTTCACGATTCACTATATCAAAGAGCTGGAGGCAGAAAAACCAAGGTTTTAAAGCAAAGAGAGAAAAAATTAAGGATATATAATCATTAAAATAGAAGAATATAAGCTCTTACCTGCTCATAAAAAATTGCTTGATGAACTTCACGGAGAAGTGAATGTGTTTCTCTAACACAATCATCATCACTGACTGACTCCTTCTCAGCTTCTTTAGATGGATGAGCAGAGCAATATATTTTGGCCTCATCGGATTCCTTGGAACTATCAGTGGAATGGAAACCAAGAATACCAAAACAAAGAGAACGGCATGAGTTTGGAGGTAAATTTATAGCCAGCATACCAGCCAAATCATGTTCGATACGAATTGTAGACAGAGAAGATGGCTTCAATACAGCTGCTGAATCGTATAACAAACTGTCGAAAAGATCAATGGTAAAGCCTTCATTTCCAGAAGCTGCAGCTGCCACACGCTGCCGCTTAACTTTCCAGTTTTGCTGCAATCTATTCGCTTGTCAGGAAAAGATACATAGAGAGTGTTGTTGAAGAACTATTCATATGTAAGATACCATCACAAAGTTATGAGCTTCTTCATTTATCTAGATGAATAAATTCAAAATAGGATGCAGATCACAATACTTTGCTTGCTTAGGTGATTTTACAAGTGAAAGAAAAGAAAATGATGAGGTCTACCAAATTGTCAACGTTCGCTTTTAGCAAAGTGATTTTATATCAAACTAGTGTTCTGAAAAGGCCAATATGGGAAACTCACCTGATTAGAGCACCATAAAATCTTGCTTCCCTAGCAATCTGCTGTTCCAAAGCTTTGGCAGACTGCTTAAAATATTTACTCAGACACTGGAGCAAAAGCATTACAAGAAATTAGAAGTTGAGGCTCTTAGAGAATATCAGAAGAAAAATACAGCACTAAAAAAGAAAAAAAGAAATACCCTATAGCACTGTAGCTTTGTTGCTGCAGATACAGCGAGGTCAGACAGAAGTTCATTAGGTAATGGCTTTGGCTTGGTCATGCCAGCCACTGTTACAGCATCATTGGCTTCCACCTACATGTTGCAAATCAAAACAAATCAATAACGTAAATTAGCATTCATTACTATCTAATCTAAAGAACACCCACTCATTTCCACTTGTATTTCACACACAGCTCTTAATTCCTCTACAAAAAGCAAGAATACACAAGCCAAAGCACCAAACAAAAATCAACTAATGACATTCATACAGGGAATCTTTTGTCTACTTAGCAAAATCTGTCGCTTGATTACAAAGACAACTAAACAAGTGGTATAGCAATTTTAAGTCTTAAAAGGTTCCAAACCAAACCCTTCTCCCCCCACCCACCAAAAAAAAAAAAAAAATTTCTTGTAAGCAATTAAAAGGTAACGGCTTCTGAGGTCTACTTATATATCCATAAGCAAAGTTTAAATTCTGTTTTCCTTACATTTCCTCAACAATCAAACAAAATCCAAGGACTTTTTTCACATATTTCTATCCAAAAACTCTGTGTTACACTTGTGTTATATACAAGATCTAAAATACAACAACTAACAACTTCAGCAATATAGTCTCATTATTAAAATAAAATAAGCCCTCAAAATTTAACCAGAATAAAAACCAACTGCCTGAATTTATGGAATACAACTACAAAAAAACAATCAACTATCAATAGATAGATAGTTAGAACGTTTGGAGTAGCTCACAGTATTAATAAGGTCTATAATGACAGAAAGCTCCTGGTGAGCCAGCTGCAGATTCTCCACCATGCTCTGCCACTGCCATGGAGTCGTTGCGGTGGTTGAACCACTCTCTTTCGAGCTCTTCTTCTTCTGCTTCTTATTATCATCTTTCTCCACTGCCCACGCAAAGTCTATTCTCCGTATCAACGACTCTCGCTTTTCATCATAATCAACATCACTATTTAATTAACACAAAATACTCCCAAAATCAACATGTATTCACAAAACCTATTAAAAAAGAAAAACATAAGCAAAGCTGAATCTTATTTGAAAACTAACTTAAGGGAAAAAAAATTTGACTACAGACTATTAAACCAATCAAAATCACTAGTTAAAGGTTAAGAAAAAAAAAAAAAAAAGAGGTAGAAACATAATTTCAAATAATCTTTAATTTATTTAGTTTCAAGGATTTATAATGAGAAATGAAACAGAGTGTGAAACAGGAACCATACGGTGGAAATCGCTCAACGCCGTTCTCTTCGATGGCATCTAAGCGCTTGACGAGGAGTTTGTCAACGGAGATCTCTAGTTCTCTGTCCATTTTGCCTCGGTGATTTCCCGGAAAATTTAAAGAGAGCCCTAAGGAAGGCGGACGGGCAAGCCCAGTGTGGGTTTTCTCAGTGTTCAATGCTTTACTTTCGCCCAAAAGAACGTGGAATACCAGATTTGTCCCTCGTAATTGCAGGATTGACCCATGGTGTTAGTCTAAAAGTCGGCAGTTGCTTAGGGCAAAATGGTGATAAAGTGGTCGTTGATTTAAGTATTTTTGTAAAATATAGGTAAATCATTTTATTAACGTGTTTTGTCCCACTTTAATTAGTTTTTCGACTGAGTAAAAGTTTCAATAAATATCCGTGGAAATATTATCGTGTGATTTGTTGATAGAACGGTGTGATTTTGTACAGGTAAATTCGTGGTAGTTAATTTGAGAAATATGGTTCTTTTAAATCTTTAAATCAGCAAGTCTTTAAATGAGTGTGTAATCCCTAATTCAACTTACCATTTAATTAATTTGGTACAAAATAAGATTATCAATTGGGTATAACGCTTCTAAAAATCGATTGTCTCCCTTAAAATAAATTGAAATCATCAAATTTCAGTAACCATAGTGAACCCGGCGGTCCAGGCCGGGACAAATAGTAGATACACAGGCCTTGTTATGGACTTTGTAAAATGTTTCCAGCCCATTTCTGATGATTTTCTTTTTCATTTATTTAGAATTCTGTTGAGGCCTAATTATTTACACGTGTTACTCCTTAATTAACTTGTTCCATTGACAATTTTCCCATGGTAATTTATTTTGAAAATTCTAATAAACTCTAATTGTTATTTGAGCCTGAACTTTGTTATACGCTACGTTATTTAAAATAACAACTTATTTTTTAACCCTAAAAAAGGATCAAAATAATTATAATTTAAAATTTGGGGACCCCCATCGTAATTTTTTTTTTTTTTTTTTTGTTCTATTTCACCTTCATCCTCATCACCAAATAACACATTACTATGAAATTTATTGTTGAATTTTTGAAGAAAAAACAAAATTTAGTGTTAGAAGACATATGCATGAGATGTCAAAATATATACTCCTTCCATTTCTCTTTAAAAGTCGTTTTAGTCTTATAAATTTGTTTCAAAATAAATGTCGTTTGGCCAAATGCAACACTCTCTCTCTTTCTCAAAGTATGCCCCTGTCTCCTCTCTCTCTCTCTCTTTCTCTTTCTCTTTCTCTTTCTCTTTCTCTTTAAAAGCCATTTATTTTTCATCAATCATCATTGTCATTTCCAAGCAAAATGTTACATTAAAAAATTAATTTATTAAAAAACGTGCAATAACTTAAAACGACTTTTATTTAAAAGGTAATGCGTAATTCAAATTGGGTTAAGAGTCTTGTTTTATACATAAGTATTAGTTAGGCAAATGAAGAAGAAAATAGAGTTGTTTGTGACAAGGATAGGAGATGTAGATTGGTGAAGCAAAATCGAATTGCACTAGAGACTGTGGATTAGGACTTTATAAGAAAGAAGGCTCCTGTGAAGTTTCATGCACCCTTCCTGGATATGGCCTTCACTAGAAACAAATTACAACATTGGATGGTGGGAAATAAGCATATATACATACAAGTAGAAGTGATTTTGATTTTGAAATAACATAACTAAGATTTGAAAAATGACAACGCAAACGCAATCACCATCACTACCAAAGTCCACATAGATTGGCGGTGGGTGACATTTTTTAGTCTCTCTCTTAGTATCAAACGTACCCAAGACAAACGATTTTCAGATATGACTTAACGTGGGGGTTGATTTTTTTTTTTTTTTTTTCCTTGAGTTGTTAATACGTAATTCTATTATTAAACTTTTACTATGAATCACTTAATTAAATTTGCACAAAATATTACTTCGAATAATTAAACAAACATTTTACAGGAGCCCCAGATGTTGCCTATCTGTCTATCTGTCATCCAATTGATTACTAATGAGGTATGCTTGCTCACTTTCTGTCACGTAAAATTCACGACAAAAGAATCCTTTTTGTTTAACATAATGAACATTACAATTAAAATTTGAAATGTTGATCTCTACGGGGAATTATATAATTTATCTCTTTGCCAGATACTGAACGATTATACATATGTCAACATAGTTATTATAACTGCAGTTCTGATGCAAACGGTGCAATCCTTTTAAGTTTCAACAAAGGATTCTCAAATATCTTCTTTTTTTATTTTTCAGTTTGTTAAATTAATATATTAAACCAGAAAAGTCTCAAATGAAGCTTGCCAAAATATTTGGTAACCCAAATAGAATATTAGTTTCAAACCTAACTGCATGGGAATTTTCAAATAATTTTTTAATGCTGGGCATAATAATTAAATAGTGAAGCTGGCAGCACTATTTCAACACTTCTCTGAATAATTGATGGATGGGTAACAGAACACGTGTTTCTCTAACAACAAGTATTAAAACTAATATATATAAGATTTTTAAGATTAAGCTCATCTGAATAATTGTTCCAGTTAAGACAACATTAAAAAACAATAGCATAGAGTGATTAGGTATGCAAATTGCAAGAACTGTAACTATAAATCCAATATGGTATAAAATTTATACTGAATAACATTATAAAAGGTTGTGGAAGGTGCGGGTCAAATTTTAGCAGGAGGTAGTCAGCAACAGCAACTAGGAAATAAAATCAATGTTATATACCATATATATCTTGGCTGAATTGACCATTTATATAAAGACAAAAATGTACTTGTAACACATTAAATTACTTTCAAATACTGCTCAGTCATCAACGTGTAGGAAACATGACTATCTGAAAAATTACAAACGCAGATGTGGAGAGATGAGCTATTGGATTCTTTCCCTATTTATACCTTCAAATTACCACCATCAACATTCACATCTTTCTAATCTCAGTCGAAGGCATGGAGAATCCTTTACGTCTCAAGTCCTTGAATCACATCTCTATTGTGTGCAGATCAGTTGAGAAATCTATTGATTTCTACCAGAATGTTCTTGGTTTCTTTCCCATTAGAAGGCCTAGTTTTGATTTTGAAGGCGCATGGTATATCAATTATTTTTTTTTTTATCGCAATCAAAATTAACACATAAAATACTTGAATTTTGATTCATTTTTGTTGCCTTGTGTCGTAAAAAACAGGCTATTCAACTATGGAATTGGCATACATCTCCTGAAATCTGATGATCCTAATCAAATGCCCTCCATCAACCCGATAAATCCCAAGGACAACCACATATCCTTCCAAGTATTTCTCCCTCTTATCTTCCATATTATTATTTCTGCATATTACATCTTTACAAGCATTTAAGTTAGTGGTTTTTTGTTTGGGTTTGGCAGTGTGAGAGCATGGCAATAGTAGAGAGAAAACTGAAAGAGATGAAGATACAGTACATGAAGGCTAGAGTAGACGAGGGCGGAATCTCTGTGGATCAGTTGTTTTTTCACGACCCAGATGGTTCAATGATCGAGATTTGCAACTGTGACGTCTTGCCAGTGGTTCCATTAGCCGGAGAGGCCATCAGATCTTGTTCAACTCTCAAATGCGTTTTGCAGCAACAGCAGGCAGTGAATCGCCAAGACTTTTCTCATTATGCTTGATCGATCATTTGGATATCAAAAGTGTTTGCTACTGCTATAGATTGACGAGATGAATGAAGGACAAGATTTGGTTTACCTGGTTTACCTCATTAACACCAAATAATTCTTTATTTCATTTCCTTATTTATGCGTTAGTGAACATTTTACTCTGTTCAAACTCGATCGTAACAATAAATGTTGTGCTATATGTTTATATTTTATAACCTACGATTGGAGTTTAAATTTCTTCCTCTTCAGATTCCTGGTTATGGATGACTGTTGAGTTCATTGAGGTTCTTAGTTCTTACAGAGTACGGCTTCGAAAAACAGATTTAAATGTATTCTGTGGCTTAAAAATCTTTCGCTCACAAAGAATTAGTATTCACAATATAGCAGGCACGTTTAAGATTCATATGGAGTTCAGATTTTATATTAATGAAATCTATATTCAATTCAAGTTCTCCATTAATCTGATTCATTCACTACCCAGCTTTCACTTACTGTAAATTTGTCAACGATTCAGATTCATTGTTGTGAGTTCACCTTTGAACTGAAAATGTGTTTAATTAGACTATTTATGGCACGAGCTTTTAATTGGGAAGAAGTACTGTACAGTTGTATTTAGCATATGAAAAAATATATAAAATTGGACCAGGCCTCCCAATTGGTCAACATACTACATAGCTGGGAAGTTGACCTCTTATTTTATGGGCCAGGAAACAACAATATATTTTGGTGAAGACTAATTTCACAAAAGACAACCAGGAAAATAAATGCTTGTAGCTGTTCTTTGCAGAAGAAAAATCCAGGACAGATTACTCAAGGGAGGTACACCTTGCGGATCTCATAACAAAATCCAGCCGGTAATGCTCCATTGAATTTTTCAATGTCTTTTTCAATCCCAAGACTTGGAAAGGAAAGAAGAAACTATTACTTAATTAAGATTATAAATTATTTTAATTTTTATGTGAATTAATTCAAGCTGCACTCGGACCAAAATTTTGCAGTTCCTCCTGCCTTACAGTCATACTCACCAGTTAATCACGCTGGCCATCTTCTCTATAGACTCGTTTTTGGCCGCCCTTTAATTCTGAAACACAAATCATTAGAATAACCCGAACAAAATTACCAATTTCAGAAAAAGCTGCTCTAGTATATCCAAAATATCGTCTGCATCTATGAAGTACTCTTAAAAAGATGCTTATATATTCTTTGTTATAATTCTACCATTGATGATTAAATTCCTGTGTCCATTATCCAAAATATATGAATATATACAGTACTTATGTTTTTAATGGTATTGTGAGCCAGTACTTACCAACTTCAGTCTGTATTTTTGATCCCAAGATTGGAGAACTTCTACACCAGCAACTTATCATCAACTCAGCAAAGGTAAATCCACAAATCACCAAGCACACCTCATGCCCTCAAAATTATAAATACGTAAAGTGGTCATGCGTTAAATCTTCGAACTTGCAGTAAAATCATTCCCAAAATGGAATAAACTAATTAAAAGATGTGATTCTCATACCAGTTATCAGTGATCTAAAGTTTCCCAACCACAAATGATCGATGGAGAATGAAGATATCCATCAAAGTTACAAATCTCCTGAGGCCAAAATATTGGAGAAGGAAAAGAGAAGAATTAGGAGCTCCCTTCAGTCCAAAACAATTTAGTTAGCCAAGTGCTTTGGGCCGAAAGGAACCCCTATTTCTACAATTTTCTCAAGTTTGTGCAGAGAAGAGACAGAACAGAGGATTCATTAAAAAGAAGTTAGAAAAGTAATGGTGTGCATCTATGTAGAAACTTCACCATAGCACAAAAGAGCCTAGAAAAACTAAAAAGAAAGCTGCTGCTTCCTGGAATTTATGGGTTTAAGTGAGAGTTGCTTCAACTTTTAAAAGTTGCATTTGCTTTTGGCATGCGTGAAGATAGGTTTTTGCCATATATGTGGGTGTATAGGCTTAGACAAAATGGAGTACGGTTTAAGCTTTCTAACCACCCCGCCCCAAAAATTAATGCATAACAACAATAACGAACAGAACACTCTGATATCGTTATCAAGACATGTAAATACAGAGAGATTCTATTTTGCTTCTATCAGTAGTTTATTATATATGTAGTACCATTTCAGATCTTTAGTTCTTCTTCGTGGCTTTCCAAATCCTCAATATAGAAAGTAATGTTTTTATTCTGCTTCTTGTAGAAGAATGAGTTGGGAGTACTGTTTATTGTAACAATATGATGCCCAACTTCATCTATCTCTTTAAGCAACCTTAATTCCTTTCGACTCTTTTGAGCATTACATTCTGTATTGATATAGGATTTAGCTTTTACTGTATTTAGTAAACGTGGACTGTAGAGGACCCATTTTCCATCCCAACATTTACAACTTTTTCCGTTGTTGGCTGCAAACTAGATTCTCACCGGTATTTGGTTTATGAACCGGCTTTGATGTAGATCAAGCTGCTGGTGGACGAGGGGCTGCTACTTGCTTAATGCGTATGATTATGTCACCGCGCCCTCAATATATCTAGCAGTTTGGGCCGTTTTGTAGATTTTTGGGCCATCATGCGTGTATAGGCACACCAGTTGGTCAGTCCAAACTCAACCCACTTAAAACCTCAACAGTAAACTCATACTGTCACACACAACCAGTATATTAAAAATATTTATGCGATGAAAGTTTATAACCGAAAATTAATGGAATATTAACCATTACTGAGCGATCTGATGCTAAAAGAGTAAAAGAAGATCTAACATAATCTCCTAAGTTTGAATCCCCTTAATGGTAAATGAACAAGAAGAGGATCTAATATGGTCTTCCAAGTTCGAGTCCTCTTGAGAGTAAAAGAGCAAGAGAATAATCTAACATGACTTACTGAGTTCGAATCTCCATAATTGTTAATAGAGGTAGTTATTGAAGGTTTTACCCTACTGGTAGTTTTGAGGTCCTAGAGAATTAGTTGAGATGTATCTAAGCTGGTTCGGACACTTTTGGTTATAAAAAAATAAAATAAATAAATAATGGAATATAATTGAATAATTAAAATTTCATATAAAATTAAAATTAGAAGAGGATCCAAATCTCGTCTCGTCAGAGAATACATGAAATAGAAAATTTGCATCACAATGATGTTTATTATCATTCTGACTCGGCAAAGGATGGCGACAAGACAAAGACAATAGGAATTATAATATTGAACGTCTGAGGCATAGGCCATAAGTGATGTTAGCAATAGAATTATGGACGGCTTATTGCAATTTGCATGAATCATAAATCATCCAACAACAAGGATCTCAGTATCAGATCACAATCAATGAATGGAGAGTTGCTATACTTTTAGCCCGCAAAATTCCTGTAAAAAGGGGGGGCTATTTAAAGCTTGAAAGTTGAAGGAACCCCACTAAAATAAATATAGATATCAATTCCGAAGATAAGGCGGATAATTAAACCATGTCTATCATATTTGTCATTCATGGCAGACATGCCATCTCAACAATTTATATCATATTTACTTGGAAAAAGACTTGTTGACTACGACTCATATTCCATACACTGCAGCTTCGACCTTTAATTTTTTTTTCTTTTTCTTCTAATGGCCATGATTTTTTGTTTTGAGACCTTTTTTATAAGAGGTATTTGTAGATGCAAAAATCTACTATTACGGAAAGATGGACTGATCCCATGAGGTTGAGACCACTAGCGATATGCTGTACCTGCACACATGAGAAAACAAACGTGAAGTAAATGGAAAAGACCAGGGTAGTGTTTGCTAAAGGTACTCCGACGCTCAAGTCAGCAAGGTTGAGTAAGGCTAGTTTAGTGAGAGTTAGGGAAAGGAAAAGTTACCGAAAATCTAGTCGGGGACCATGACTACGGCTGTAATGCGAAGTTCTCAAGTGGGAACTCTAGGGTCTGAAGGTGTAATGTTTTTGTCCCTTATGAGAGGGCTGACCTCTGTTTAAATAATGACTGTATGGTCTTCCGGTCCTGGTGGGACTAGGAGTCCTCGTAGTGGTAGTTCTCCCAAAGGGTGTAACCTTTGGCTCCCTTATCTCAGCAGGAAAGGGAGTTCGAGTGTGACTCGGATACGGACCTTGGAGGAATTGGGATAGTAGTTGACTTCCTTATCAGAATCCAAGTAGGAGTGTAATTCGTAGGTGATTGTGGGCTCTGAGTTGACCGTAAGCCCAGAAGGTATTCTAGGATCAGGAGGCCTGGGTCCAGATGGTGAGGACTGGGAAGGAGCACCAGACGGGACTCATTTGCAAAACTCCGAGTTGGGCCCTATCGGAATTGGGCCTTAGCTTTTTAGCTTTGTTGAAGGTGTCTTCATCTTTGGGCTTACCTGGGCCGAGACATTTTTTAGCCTTAACAGTTTGCCCCCAACTCTCTGAGTTAAGGAGTGCTTAGCTTAGAGAGTAAACATTGTCTGGAGACACATCTGGTTGGCCTTCGTGGCCTACTGGCTGAGTTTTTGAATGTGTTGCTTCTATGTTCCCTGGAACGAATGATGTAAGCTTTTGCTGTCGGCGGGGAGTTCGGTACGTCAGTGTACCATGCGAGGTGAAACCTAGTCATGCACGCGTCCAATGCGTCCGACAGAGTGAGGAAGTGAATTGGCCCTGTTGGATTCGTCCAATGTACCGAGTCGAGGAGGAGTTTGAAAGAGTGCACAAAATCCTCTCACTCGACCTGCCTTCCCGAGCGAGAAGGTATGCGAATCCTCCCATGACAGTGTTCATCCGGTGTATATGGATGAATAGCTGTGTTGGTTGTTCCCTAGTAGTGACTTAGCTTGGTGTAACGAGTTGGGTGAGCGTGTGTGTGAGCAACCTTTGAAGGCATGCCCGGTCGATACTTCCCACCAAGCGGAATACGATAGGCTCAACTTGGTGGTGCCGTAGGCTTGTTGGTTGAATCCGAATGGACGGGAGTACGTGTGATTCGGATCGAGGAAGTTGCTCGCTCGGTCGAGTTGACCGAGTGGTGGAGCTCATGTTCCGCTGAGTAATGTTCGGTATGAGGCTGGTTAACAGAGGTTGGAGAGTCAATAATTCTAGCGGTGACTCTGCTCGGTAGGGTGAACCAAGCGAATGGTTGCGTTGCGACACGTGTACAGTTGAGCAGTCTTTTGCATTTAGGCGGGAAAATCAAAATATCATAGTTCTCGATGACCAACCGTAGGCTGCCACGTGTTAATTCTGACACTTTTTCGTTGATAAAACCTGTGGGGCGTCCGATCTCTTCATCTTCTCTTTTCTCTCTCTTTCACTTCGCGTTTTTCTCTGAGTTTGGGGTTTTCTTCGCAACTTTGAAGGTTTACTGGATTTTGGCCATTTCTACGGTAAAATCTCATTCCTTTATGCTCTTTTCTTTTTAGTTCCTTGTTTTCTTCGTTTCTGCAGTGTTTTTTGGAGAGATTGAGTGAAGTTTGGGAAGATTTGGTGGGTTTGGTGGCTTTTGAAAGGTTTTGCCTAAGTTTTTGGAGGTGCCGTATTTTATTTTTAGAACAGGCTTGAATTTTGGGTTCCTGGAAAGATTATGGGTGATTTGAGCGGGTTTTCCTGGTTTTTTGACGTTTTTGGAATTTTGGACAACGAAAAGAAGACGAAACTAAGTTATGGGGTGTCTCGGTTCGGCTCGTCTCGGTCTGCCTGACCGAGTCGAGTGAAATGGTATGGGCTAGGTTTTGAATAACTGGGAAAGTTAGGATACGTAGGTCACCCGATCATCCCGACTGAGTGGTATGAGAGTCGTACGGAAGGCTAAGTTGAGCAGGCGTTCAGTCGCCCAGGCCGAGCAGAGGGTTATACAGTCGCGTATTCTCATTTTGGAGTAGTTAGTTGGTGATTTAGGGCGAGTGAAGCTATAGAAGGGAGTCGTGCCCTGAACTGAGGAGGTCGGTCGCCAGGGGCGAGCGGGTTCAACTAGCTATTAGTTTTGAAAAGATTAGGTCGATCGGCAGTGAGGGACGAACGGTGATTTGACACTTAGATTTTAGGGAGTGTAGGTTCTGAACAGGAGAGGTCGGGTGGTGGTGCCGGGCGAGCGAGGGTCAAGTAAGAATAGTTTGGAGACAATGGTTCGTTCAGTGGTGTGGGGAGAGTGGGTCAGGTGATTTTTGAAAGGAATAGGTCGGTCGGGGAGAGTGAATTGGTTGAACAATGTCTGGGTCGGGGTCCAATAGTTCGAGTAGGGCAGAGGCAGAGGTCGGGAATGAGTACGAGAATGACCCGACCATGGTGATGATGCCCGAAGGTGGGGGCGTTCTAGTCGGTATACCGACCAGGGTGAACGTAGCTGCCCCTAGGACGAGTGGGGCTAACACGGGTGATGTTGAGCTTGGCAGGCAAGGGGGGAGTGGGGAAGACTTTGAAGGAGTTGGTAGTCCATCCTCATCCGGTAGTAGCTCTGAGGATGCGTCGAGTCGGCCGGGTGGTGGGATATTGAGCCGAGATTATTTGCCCCTTCTGAAGGACAATGATATGTGGCGAATCCGGATAATGTATCACATTCCAGAATCCGTTGAGATTAGGGCGGCTTAGTCGTATGAACGGGTCGACTGGGAAGCAAAAGGATGGGTGAGCGCCTATGAGAAGTGATAGACTTTTTGTCACTTGGACGCCTTGATCTCGTGTCTGAAGTGGATCGACCGAGAATGATTCTATCGGCGGCCCCTATTCCTTATCAGTCAGGGCTGAATCGTCAACTAATGACGAACATGGCTGGCGCGACCTCGTATCCGAGATTGGGGGTCCGTGCTCTAGAGTCTGGAGAGGTTGCATAGACGAAACCGAGGCGCAAAACCGATTGGGTGGTACCTGACAAGGCAGAAGCTCAAGTGGGAACTCTATGGTCTGAAGGTGTAATGTTTTTGTCCCTTGTGAGAGGGCTGACCTTGTTTAAATAGTGACTATATGGTCTTCCAGTCCTAGTAGGACTAGGAGTCCTCGTAGTGGTAGTTCTCCCAAAGGGTGTAACCTTTGGCTCCCTTATCTCAGCAGGAAAGGGAGTTCGAGCGTGACTCGGATACGGACCGTGGAGGAATTGGGATAGTAGTTGACTTCCTTATTAGAATCCAAGTAGGAGTGTATTTCGTAGGCGACTGTGGGCTTTGAGTTGACCGTAAGCCTAGAAGGTGTTCTAGGATCAAGAGGCCTAGCTCCAGATGGTGAGGACTAGGAAGGAGCACTAGACTGGACTCATTTGCAGAACTCCAATTGAGTTGGGCCCCATCGGAATTGAGCCTTAGTTTTTCAGCTTTGTTGAAGGTGTCTTCATCTTTGGGCCTACCTGGGTCGAGACATTTTTTGGCCTTAACAGTATCTAGACTCACATCGAAGGTATTTGAGATATCCAAGTCTATATTGAAACTATCTAAGATATCTAGACCCACATTAAAGCTTGTTTAATCTTCAGAGCCACGGAACACCCTACAAACTCAATGAATAAAAGAAGTAGGTATCTCTTCTAGTCCACAGATCAAGACCCCTTGGGCAAACTAACCGTCTAACCTTAGTTATTAAAGGTTTTTCATCCAACCACAAGGGGAAATGTTGGTTTTGAGACCTGTGAGGGTCATATTTATGGATCCTCGTTGGAGATTTCATAGCCACAAAAATTCATGGCTTGGAGACCTTCCTCTTGTTTTGGCACCGGGAGGAGACCTTAAATACTGTAGTTAAATTTTCAAGTGGATTACTACAATCTTTCTTAATACGTATCCTGTAAAGTGAAGTCCTCCATTTGTTTGAAGGCAAGGCGTCTTTAAATATTTTACTAAAAACGCCATTAGTAATTGTTGCTTAGTGCTTTTAACACTTTCAATTTAAAATTTCATCCACTTTTTCACTTCCAAAAGTCAAGTCGAGAGATGACATGCACATGCTCGATCCTATATATGCTCAACATGTAATTTAATGGTAAAGCAATTACTTCAATGTGCTCAATTAATTGAGTCAACATCATATATATGAGACTCGGATTAATACATGATAAAGATGGTCCAACAACAAATACAGTATATAGATTTGATCGTTTTATGTTTTTAAAAACTTACTTAAAAATGTACCCTTTGACAGACGTTAACATTTTCCCAAAAGAATTCCCTTCTTATTTAATGTATTATAATGAGATTATGTAATGCATAATATACTATATAACGGGTTTCTTTTAATACACTTTCTCTGCCCTGATTAAAGAAATTGAGCAAACATCTAAAATAGAATTCAACATTTTAACTGGGTTCATGTTCTTGATTATTAGAAAAATAATTTAAGGGTACAACAAAGACAGAGATCGTTGTTTAGGGTACCCCACATGAATAGCCGGTGGAGGGTAGTATTGGGTCCATGTGTGCTGGCTCTTCAGCAACGAAATCATATATAGGAGACAATACAAATATGCCCCAAACACTTGTTCAATTTCCACCACATACAACTAATTCTAACCCAAAACAATGAATCATCAAATCTCATCTCATGCAATTCCACCATTTAATTATCCTTGATTACAGGCAACAACACATGGTTTCCTGCTTAATTTATCACCACCCACTTTCTAATCTACATTATTTAACTGAGTTTTCAATGTGTTCATCATTGCAGTCACATCTTCCTTCTTGTATATAATTTATATATATATATAGACAGTTAGACATACAAATTCTACTTCAAAAGTGAATTGATCAGAGAGAGGTAGGGAAATGGCTAACCAAGAGAAGCTAAAGAAAGGATTCATGTCTTTCTATAAGTCCGCCGCCGCTAAAATTAATCACAAGCCAAAATCTCAGCCATTAGTTAAACACGTGACAGAAATTCCACCAAATAAACCACTTCCAGTACTGTCGCTGCCGTCACATAAGTTGTTATTAAAGAAGCAACTGGAAATCTGTGAGGAAAGTGAGGATGGTGATCAGCGCAGAGGAGGAGGAGGAAATTTGGTTGAGGGGAGAAAGTCAGTGTCTCACGTAGAAACAAATGTGGCATCAGTGATTGCATTTCTTCAAGTGAAGGTGTTGGTGTCTGATATGCCTGGATTCATGCAGGCCCATGCCTTCAGAATTGCCCGGCGAACCTATGATACCTTGGAGAAGTTCAGCTCCAAGCACATTGCTTTTAACATTAAAAAGGTATACATTTTTTTTTTTTTTTTTTTTTCCCAACAAATTAAATTTCTTGCTAGTTTTGCCGTGCATCTTCAACTCTGGCCGGCTTGATATTTCATATATGTAATGTATAGTACTCTTTTGGTGTTTCTTTTTGGATTTTTGTATGGTAGATGATTAGATTTAGTTCATGGAAACCCCACAAGGAATTAGACTTGATACTTTAGAGATGAATACTACTCATGATGAATTCAGAATAATTAGGGTTGATTTTGTGGAGGAAAACAACAACAGAACAGAAACATGGAGTACTTTCTCTCACTTTACATTGATCATCAACAGTAACCTTGGTCAATTAATTATATTATTGATGAAATAGTTAATGATCCAGCAACCCATGTGTGCGAGAGCAATCAATGGAATCTCAAATTTCAAATCCCTTAAAAATAATTATCAAATCTCATTCTCTGATCTCTTACTAATTAATGTGTGCAACAGTGATCATGTCGGTAATGTTAATAAATCTAATCATCTTCGGCTAATCATGTGCTTCCTCTCTCTAATCTCAATATCTCTCAAATATTTAATTCAATAATGCATAATAGTTAAAAATGTGACTCTATACATGCAGGAGTTTGATAAATTGTATGGTCCGGCTTGGCATTGCATTGTTGGTGCAAGTTTTGGCTCCTTTGTCACCCATTCAACAGGTTGTTTTCTATACTTTTCAATGGAGAAACTGTATATTCTAGTGTTTAAAACAAAAGTTCAGAAAGCTTTAGATTGATGAGATCATAGATTCATTGGAGAAACTAATGATTATTCATATCATTTGAATTTTTTCTTCTGTTTCTATGATCAGTTGATTAATTACATGATTTCTCTAAGTTTGTCAATTTAATATGTGTTAATGAAAGAGTTGTATTCATGTGATGTGAATAAAATAATGTAAATTAAAATATCTGTATTAATTACGTGGTTGATAAGAGTCAAAGCACCAGCCAGGTTTGATCTGGTGGTCCTCTGAGGCTGCTGATGGCTATGTATTTGGCCATTTCGTGTTTGTCTTTAAACAAAAGGGTGGCCGAGTCTTGTTTTTTCCTAGCTACCTTCTCACCAAAATCATGCACCAACCTTTTTTCAACTATTATTTGGTGTGCATATATATATATATATACACCTTTTACATGAATATATAGACTTTACATAAGCTATACCAGTGTGAAATAATATGATAAATGATCATGTATGTTAGTCTTGATTTTGAACCTAAAAATAATTCAGTAGTGAACTCAATACGAATTCTTTATACATACTCTTAATTCTTAAACGTTCAACAATAATAAAAAATCATTTATCACAGAAGCACCAACACAGTTGTACTTTTACCCAGTAAACACTTCTCAGAACTGACTTTTATATAGTTATTAGCTGAGTTTTTGAGGGTTGTCAACTGTACTAGTCCTAGCGCAACTTATTTAATTGCTTGGCTCAAACAGCTAATGGAGAGTTATGTAATTAAGGTTCCCTAATTTGTCAAATATAATAAGATTAAAAAACTCTACAAGCAATATTGATTCCCCATTAGAATGGTTCAAGGATAATATAATAGTAACTTAGTACGATCTCTATATTACATATTAATTTGCTTTGAATTTAGACTTTTCTGCTTTTCCAGTTCATGCTAGTCAAGTATTTCAGCTCTTTAATTCTAAATATTCATCCGTCCAGAGAGACATTTACACTCTAATTTTCTTTCTCAAATAATTTTAAAGCGATCAACATATTAACGTAATAAAATTTGGACATATATATGTTAATCCAGACAAAAGAAGAGGAGAAAACAAAACAATCAATATATTTGGCTCTATCTTAAAAGCAAGACTTCCCTGGCCAGACAAAAAAATTAAAAAAAAGACATGATCAATAAAATCAATAATTAATTTCCAGACATTCAACATCAAGGAAAGCATTTAATTATGTTATTACAATTTGCTTGGACATTATATGATGGTCGGCAGCTTAGCTTCTTTATGCACATACATCTAATGGAGTAGAGACTAAAGAGGCGAGAAAATTATACTATATATTATACGGGAATCGCTTACGTTACCAACTAAAGCCGTTCAAATTGCAATAAAACGTAATTAACTAAATGTCAAACTATTGAAAAACACCTAAAATTTTCTTTATTTAATTCATTATTAAGTCCAATTCATCATGATTTGCAAGTTTGAATTAATGGAGCGTTTCAAATCATCATTCACAGAACAGGAGATCATTTTGATTATAGATTTTGCACTCTATCTCTAATCATGTCAAACCAACTTGCATCACAACCATATTCAAGTCATAACAAACCAACTTGCATCACAACCATATTCAAGTCATAATCACTCCAGAATGGCCATTTTCATTGAAAAGAAAATAAGAAAAAAAACTTAATTCTAGGGTTTAATTTGGTTTAAAACAAAAGAAAAATAAAAACCATCCCACTGAAAAACCTAAGAGAGAAAGATAATCTCTATAAGCTTATTGAACCATGAAACATCGATCGAAAGAAATGTAAAAGAACCAAACGTGGTTGTTTGGTTTGTGCATGCTGCGGTAGAATCCTGTAAGTTGTAAATATACATACATCTAAATTCTCAAATATATATATTATAGAGAGAGCAAAAATCCCAAATAGAAACCAAACTCACACATGGTATTCATCATCTTTAACTTAAAATCATGTACAAAGCATTATGTGCGATCATGACTTACGCTTATTGGGTTTCCGGGGTTTACGGGTTGCCTCAGGTTTACCGAAAAAGCCACAGCACCCGGACACTTTGGGAGACGGAGGGTCCCTGTTGGGTGATGGGACCTTAGCAGTCCGATAAGTTCTTCCTCCACCTCCACCTTCTGATCGACTACGCTGCATCATCACGCTTTGTGACAGCCTTAACTCTCCCTTGTTATCGTCTTTATCTGCCGCTTCTTTATGTCTCGTATGACGCTTCAACTCGCCGGATAAGAACTTGTCATCCCATACTAATCCCGACGATCCTTGCCTTCTAAACGACGCCGCAGACCTTTGTAAACCAGCCATCGTCCTTATTTGTTTCTGCGGAGTAACGGTGGCACAAAGAAAACGATGATCCAATTCAAACAATATGGAGTTGGGAATGTTTTTTTGTGTTATAAAAGAGGAAGAAGAGAGGAAAATGACAAAAGAGGAATTAAAATGAGAAAAACCATAAATTGGAATCTACAGATTAATTTATGGAAATTAAAATAAGAGTTGCCTTGATGTGTATAGTAACAAAAGGATAACAATCAATATATATATTAATGTTTTTCCTCTAATAATAGACCAAACCAGAAGGCTGACCATATCGTGGTTTAATTTCAATGGTTCAAATACTAGTTCAAACGTTTGGTCTATTAACCGTATAATTTAGGTATACCATCCTTATAATTGCTCACAAAATTAAGATAAGGACGAAAGGGAATCAAGAGAATAAGATGAAGAGTTTTACTCGGTCATGACATGACAATTAAGTGTTGATGCATTGGCTAAAGTTAAAAAAGGAAGAATATTGTAATTTTAGTTGATAATCACAAAACCATTGATATACTAATCAATTCTTTCATTCAATGTATCATGTTATCGTACTTTGAATATTTTTTATGTTACGTAATAGTATATGATATATTTTATGTTACGTAATAGTATATGATTTATAGCTTTTATAGTAAGACAACACACATTGATAATCACATTAACTTTTAGTACAATTTTAGAGTTGATGTTTTTTCCCACCCAAATAATAGTTTAATAACATTTTATATTTATAGACTTCTAAAATACTATTTTTTTATCCAAATTTAAATTCTAACGATGAATAGAGAGTAAATTCTTTCCAAGCCGTTGAGACTTTTTAAGAGGAGAGGCCGATGAATCTTTTTATGATAGAAGATTAGATTTTAGTGGTTAACATTTATCAGAATTTGACTTTAGAGAGGTAACTGTGCAAATCCTAATTGTCAGATTGTCAATGATTGGTAGGAGTAGAGTTTGAAGAGTGATGATCGGAGAAGAGAATAGTGATGGTGTGGGGTCACAAAGATGCCGAAATCGAAAACACAATATAAATTTATGTAATAAAGTAATATTTTAAAAGTTTATGGGTAAAAAAATATCATTAAACAATTATTTGGGTAGAAGAAAGTCGTTTACTCATAATTTTATTATCCTTCTCTCCTTTTAATTTACCCAAAAATTAGATACCTAAAGTTTCTCAACAATTTGACCCTTGTTTAACCCAAAAGACACAAAATGAGAAAAGTAGAGCGCAATTGTTATTTGTACTCTAATACATATGCCTAACATTGATTGATTATCTTCTTAATTTGAGTCTTCAATTCATGATAAAGCTTGAAGTTACTGATCCTGGGTTTGACTAACTTTAGTAGATTAGTTACTTAGATAAGATTAATTGATCATTGTGATAAAATGTCAAGTCATAATCAAAAAATATTCCACAGATTTGTTGATATCTTAAGACTAAAACAACTGCTGAGCTGTGTTATATTTATTTTATGAAACAATTTATCACTAATAATATTTTGCTGAGAACTTGGGAATCATAATCTGGCTCCGTGATAGTATTGAGTAGTTCGCGGCGGAGTTTAAGGGAGTCGGACTCAATAAAGGCTTAGAGGAAGCTGATTAAGTCTAGCCTAGAATTAGGCCAGACCAATCCAAGTCAAATGGATACATGAGTCTTAACAACATTACCAACGAATTAGGATGTCTAATCAGTGATCATTTTTGCTTAGTTAATATTTAATAGGATTGAACCTCTTACTAATGTACCAAATCCCATATCTTATATCCTGTTAATGTACAATTTAAGCTGATAAATTGGAGAACAATGCGCTGCTACATGACATTAACAACAATCTCCAGAAAGCCTGAAAGATGAGTTTTATGAGTTGGTTGGATTCCCCAATGCAGTAAAAAGTAAAAAACGACAATCACCCAAAATGACAGATTATAACAAAGAGCAAACAGAAAACGCTCAGGAATAGTCTTAAAGAGCAAGGTAATCTCTAATGAGAAAATCATTGTTATACGTAAAAAAAAACTGACCATCTCATTACAAATGTACTAACCAGAATGTGCAGCTCTGTACATGAAATCAAGACAAGCTCAACACTAGCAGTGATGCCAAATTTTCTGATGGAAGTATACTGTCATAGCCTGGCCAAATGGCTATTCTAAGAAGTTTCTTTCAGTAAGGAAATATCTGGGGACTACAGATATTACAGAAGTACAAATGAAATGTCCATAGACTTCTCTACTTCTCTTCAAGGCTCTCACTTATCAGTGTCTTCATCTAGAAACAAAATGAATACCTTCATCAAATAACGGTAACTAAATGGATCCCAGCATATTGAAGTATCATGATATAAGCCAGAATGCCTCTAGCAACAAATAACATTTCACTGTCCTCATCTTCAGCACAATTGATCATTTTTTAGAAAATGAGAGTAATTTCTTTCAGCAGCTGCTAGTATTGTTGTCCCTCAAGGTCACGGCCTCCTTTTTCCTTGAGGATTTCACTCAGAGGTTTTGGTCCCTGAAAGTCAGTCAACGTTTTACTTGAATGCCCTGTTTCCCCAGAGTAATCACCATTTTCTTCAGTCTTTTTCTTCTCTTCTTTAATCTCAGCAAGAGTCTTGGGCCCTGTAAATGCAGTAGAAGTCTCAGTAGATCTCCTCTCCCTTGAAACAGGTTTTCTAGAGACTTCAGATGAATGAGACTGCCGTTTTGCAAGCCTTTTTTCCTTAGAATTCTGCCTAAATCTCCTAGATTGTGAACGCCTAAGCCACTCATGCTGGTTGGCACCAATTGAAAGAGTTCCATTGTCCTCATATGACTCAATATTGTTCTTTCCAACTACTGATGCCAATCTTCTGTGCAGCCGCTGACCAATAACATGCCTTCGAGACCTTTCCTGCCTTCGAACAACAAATCTATGTGATTCATGCTTTCTTGATGAACTAATAATTCGATGATCATCAATTACTCTGCGTTTCCTCAGATAATCTCGAAGATCCACATTGTGATCATTTACTGCTACTTTTGATGGCAAGAATTTCCTCTTTTGAGAAAATAATGAATCCAACATCCTTTCTCTTCCACGGATTGAAGGTTCTATGACATTATCGAGAATGCACCCATTATCCAAACAATCATAACCACTGTAGATCTGCCGTTCATCTAGAAGTTCTGCATCTGGATATGTGGGATCATACTTAACTTGGTCTTCCAAATCATAACCCAAAAATTGGCCGTTAAGACCACCGTGCTCTCTATTCATGGCCAGTAAGTACTCTGAATCATCCTCATAACCCAAATTCTCTGATCTATTGTCACTATCCACAAGAACGTCAAAACCTGGGGATGATTCCCACCGCTCCTCGGGCTCAATATGGCCATTCATTTGTTCCTCAGAATTCCAATCTGTGCATAGATGAGATCTAGTTTTCATAAAGCCTTCTACTGGAGCTATGAGGTCTGACTTAATAGTAGCAGCTTCTTCACCCTCAGACAGAGATATCTGTGGGGAGGCACTTCGCCATAGAATGCTTCTAGGCGCTGATTGCAGAAGATAATCCTTGGGCTGAATGCTCATAACCATTGCTGGCTTTGTGACAGTTTCCGATGGATTAGGACGTCTTTCTTTCAGTGTGGACCTATTGTCATTTCCTGTAGATGCCTTGTTTTCTGTGGGTAGAGCATCAGTACTTGCAGAGGCCTTCCTTGAATATATCCCAGCAGGTGCACTACCTTCAGGATCATGCATAAAGGAGCACCTGTCACCTTTGTTGCAGAGACCATTGAAGTAGAAATAACAGGGAACAGTGGTCTTGTTTGCAGGCATAGAAGATTGATATGGCAGTGGAACAGATTCAGGCCGTGCTTCAGTGAGATGCCCATCCAGTGGCTGTAACAGAAACAAAATTTAGTAAAGTGATTTCATTATGGAACCAGTGACTAATGTTGATAATCCAGAAACAAATCCATCAACCAGTAAATAATACAGAAACAAAACATATGAAAGAGAACAATAAAAACACAATGTACCAATCAAAATTACACTTTAAATATCAGATACCATATCTGAAATGGTATTTGCCTATCCTATTAACAGATAAGGTTTCTGACATTCAAACTAATCACAATGTTAAGAAACATTCTTAAAGTTAGAAACTCAAATTAAAAGACAAGATGCGAGATTGCAAATTACGTGGAAAAGAATTGATAAAAAAACCAAGGCCCAATGTGAACTATGAATCATAACAGAAGACAAGCTTACAGGATGTCTAAAACCACAGGCTGGATTAATACAATTCCCAGCTAACCAGTACCAACAATCCCTCGGGTTCAGTCTTGCAATTTCACAGTGCCGATATTCACAATCAATCCCCTGAGAAAAGAAAAAGATCATCACTCTTGCAGCCGAAACATAAAAAGATAAACACTGCAGCCGAAACCATTAAAAAGATGCACAAATTCTAAAACAGAGAAACTTGCAGTGCAAGAAAAAAAAACACAAAACACAAGAACAAACTTAATTAAGTACATGGAAAGAAATCCATTTTGGAACTAAACGAGTATGTATACATTAGGTTTATTGAGTATACAAATGTAGTGTGGTGCAAGGTATAAATGAAACAATTAAACTATCAATAGTAAATTTCGGATCCTCAAAATTGACACAACTTACATAGAGTAAAACCCTAGACGAACTCAAATAGAAGCACAATAAACCATCACAACAATCGAACCCAAGAGTTAAAAAAACAGATACTAAATGAGTTCTAAGTAAAAGAAAGTGCAAAAATCGAGATCATGGAATATTAAAAGAAACACTAGAATCTAAATTCTTTTAAATGTAGGGTTAGAAAGGAAAGTTGTGACATTGAAAATGGAAAAAAAAATAGAAAAAAGTCACAAACAAAAAGAGAAGAAAAATAAGAAAAGCAAGAAGCTAAGTTGATGGTTGCGGAGAAACCTTCTTGCAGGTGAGAGGAGAAGCGAGAAAATAGACGCAATCAGTGTTCCGCTTTCGCACTTCTTCTTCCATTTTCAGGAATTGCCAGGCTAACTCAACACTACAATATGCTACACGTAATTTCAACAGATCAACAAGTATCCATCACTGTTTCGGAATTTTGTTCACACTGACTTGGCGGAGAGATCGATCGTAACAGTAAATGAGAGAGAGAATTTTGTTTTCATTGTTTGCGGTTTGGCAAGGCGAGGGCAGGGCTCGGTGCTTTTCAAATTGGAGTCTAATTTTCAGGTATTTGTGAATTATTGCCCAATTGCCATTTTTTTTTATTCTTGGCTTTTTGAAATTAATTTTAGAGTAATTTTATTTCTTAACACAGTACTATAATTTAATACAAACAATTTTTTTAATTTTTATTTAATTTGAGACTGCTAAAACTACTTAAGAAGCAAAGCTGTATAAAAATTTCATTTCAGCTTATAATAATAATTATTATTATTATTTGTAATTACTATAGGAATCGAAATTTTGAATAGTACTGTAGTATGAATATATATGTACGATCCGGACTGAAAATGGGTGTCAATTAGTTTAATGTGACCATCATTTTTATTTGCAGCTTTTCTGGCAGAGATGGGGTTTAAGTTAATGTTGCATTAAGTTTTCTAAAATGATCTTCTCCTACGAGAATAATAAGAAGTTGAAAGTGTTCGATTGGAATATAAAATGTTCCAAAACATGACTGAATTGACCCTAATTACTCTCTGACAGAAGGAAGAAGAAAGGAGATTATCAACCAGGAAAAACACCAACTGGCTCCAAACGAGTAGCTGTATGAGTGAAAATCTCGTGTCGTTCACAAGCACAGACTAGAATTTCCTTTAATCATCTTCATAAGAGTGGCTGCCTGCCTCCCCTGATTCTTGAGGTTCTTCTTCTTGAATCTCACTATCATGAATCTGGGAAGCTCAAAAGCTTTACTTTTACAATTATTTTCAGAGACAGATTGAAAAGGTAATGTCAAAGGAAGTTATAATCCATCAAGTTCATCACAGGAAAAAACTGGATTTGCGTACACATGTAACAGTAGGACAAACAAGGTTATTTCAAATTCAAATGTTCAGATCAGTATTGGCTCTTACCATCTAACATTTTGCATTGTGTAACATTCCTAAATTATTTTGTATTTTAGGGATTTAAGTCCTTTCACCAATGTTAATCACATCATTTATTACACAAAATTTGGTTTGAAAATTATAGAATGAGGTTGGCTGAAATGTCTCAATCTATCAAAATTTGTAAACCATTTGCTCACTATATCCAAGATCCTTGAGTATGCCAGTAAGCTGCAGCAAAGCAATTAAGCAACCACATTAAAGACAGAAAAACCTTTTTGAATCAGTGGTCAAAATAATAAAAAAAATGCCTACTCATACCTCCCCCTGTGAGCGGTCTTTAGCCTTATCACCAGATATATGCTTCATCATCCCCGGGGGTCCACATACCTAAACAAGCAGGACCAATTGATTCAGGGTTCAAAATTTGCTAAATCTCATCCTAGTTCTTGAACGTGTATGCAACAGGTAAGGTTTGACCTATAATCTTTCAGGTAGTTTCCAGTTACGGTATCCAGTAGCCTGCTTATAGAAAGTAGAAACTACTGTCTTCTTGACATTTAGCTTCATTAAACTCATACCGTGGTCCACTTTTTTCAAGTGGAATTAAAAGAATTCCCGTGTGATTTTAAAAGAGAGAGAGAGAGAGAGAGAGAGAGACGCTTGTGAAGCATACAGTCCAAGATAATTCAGAAATCGACACAGTATCAGTAGGCAAAACATTAAGAGTAGTTGGCTTTAGTCACAGAAATTGGGAATATTCTCTGAGGCCTTAATCTGGTTTGGAGCAAGGGTTTCGAGATATAGAATAGGAGTTCAATACTCAAGCAGTAGGGGACTATCCTAAAAAGGTTTATAAGGATTTAACCTCCAGAAAGCTCTAATTGATATACTCAAAAAGAATTAATTAATGGAATAATTATAGAGAATCCTGAGTTTGGCCGATTGCTTGCTACTCAGATAGAGAACCTAGTTTTGGATTGAACTGTACTCAATTTAGCTCCACATCTAGCTGAACAAGTTAACTAAAGTTCAATTGCAGAGAAGTAACAAAGTTACTTACTAGGATAAGAGTATCATCACTTGGACTGGGCAAGCCTTTTATGACCATATCCTTTGAGATGTAACCTGCACCTCCTTTCCAATTTTTTGATGGCTTGTCCACAGTGTAGAATATCTGCAATTTTCAATCCGAAAAAAGTAGTTTTTATTTGACAAAATATACATCTTTTAAACTGATGCAGCTATAAGTTCATGCTAAAAAAACCAGTTACCTTCAAATTTGGATGGCTAGCTTCAAGTATGTCAAGCTTCTGTTTGAGCAATATATCATCTGGTGAAACATTGGCATAAAGCAATGATACCTATCGAGATTAATGCTGCTGTTAGCAATATGGTATAGATAATCTGCTAAGGAAAGCACTCTAAATAAACAAATGACCTTTGTTTCAAACACAGAATTTACTAAGAGTAAAAAAAATGTCAGTCAGACCATATCATTATCATCACAAAGATAACAATAAGATATGCTTACCTGAGTGTTGTCATCGGGATTCTTCAGTATAGCCTCAATCACCTGAAGCATAGGAGTAATACCTGTGCCACCAGCAATCTGGAAGAGCATAATATAGAGGGGAAAACACACAATTTTATCAAATTTGATAGAATCACGTTTTTATTGCAATTTATCAGAAAAAGTTGAACAAATTTTTTGAAAGGAACTAGAAATTCAAATGAAAAGTAAAGTCCATATGCACAAGAAGTGATATCAATGATTATGCCATCAACTATCCTTGACGTGTGGTAAGAACTGAAACGCCAGCAAACCACTCACTGTAGATGCGTATGTCATGACTATATATGATGAAATCACAGAACTTGGTGCCTGGCATGGCCCGCATGGGTAAGAACAATGGATGTTTCAGGGCTACTTATAGCCTTACACTTCTTGTGCTGTCATAATATCATAATTTATAAAAAAAACTGCCTTCATATTACTTCTTTGAGCAAGAGAAATTATGATTAGCAACTAAAATCGAAATTCTTACCATGCCAATGTGTTTCTTCATATTGGGAGAGTATCTGAGCTTTTCAATGGGCCTGCAAGAAATAAATGCATTCAGCTATAAGTATAATGTACACTGTAATCCCTGCCAATACTTCTAAAATCCAAATAAAGTACCCTTTCACTTCGACTACATCCCCTGGTTTCAAGCTTGCAAAATGCTGACTCATTTTTCCCTCAGGGTACACCTGAAAAATTATAAAGGAGTGGACTAATGCAATTTAAAGAGCATTACATTAATGTGCAAGGGTATCTTCAAAAGTGGAAACTGAAAAAATAATAAGAATTTACAATGTACCTTAATTAATAAGTCAAAGTATCCCTTGGAATCTGGATCTGATATAGGAGTATACCTGAACATAAAAGACAGTAATAGCACAAGATACTTATCAAATAAGCTTATCAATAAAATAGATAAACAGAATAACCTGCTATGAACAATATTAAGAACATCTAGCAACATATCAAGGAACATCATCCAGTCATTTCAGAACAAGAACATCTGATTGTAAGTGCACAATCCACACAATATATTTTCCTAGGTATTCATGACATTTGGTGTTCAGCAACAAGTTAGTTCCTCCCCACAAGCATTTCGACAGGGAGATGGGAGAGAGTGAGAGAGAACTTAGAATCAATAAGCTGAACAGTCTCTAATGAAAATTTATAAATTATGTGGTTTTGACCAGAAAACCATCCTCACCACGAAAAAATACACTGGATATAAGGCAAACCTCAAAATCAGCAATCAAGCTACGTACACAGGAAATGCCAGTTCAAACAAACAAAGATTAGAACTGGAGGACTTACGGCCGTATGACATATTTTGTTTTTCCTTCAGTGTCTTGTCCTACTGGAGCCCTGCAGTTATGATAACACATAAAAGCAGATGAATTCAAAAGCAGACTCCATTTGACTCTTATCCAATATCAACTCTAAATTATAAAAATCAGAAATCATAAAAATTAGATTCTTCTTGAAAACCTGTAGGATACTTACAACCATCTCAAATTACAATCAGTGAAACATACCTTGTAAGGATGCACGAAGCAACATCCAAACCCAATTTAGCGGATGGATCAAATGAGAATCTGCCATTTTGAGGAGATGGTTAAAAAAATTAACTACTCTGAACAAGCGTTTCAAACTTGGGAATTAGCAAATCAACTTAATAGTTCCACTGTGATTTACACATAGTTCAAATAATTTTACTGTTTTTAATAACATGCAATTAGTTTTTCTTTAACACCTGTAGAGGGAACCCTCAATTCCTTCAAATTGTATCATTTCTAATTCATCTTCTGGACACCGATTAATTTGCCACATTAATTACCAACTTCAGCTTTAATTCCATGAAAACTAAAATTAATTAAACACTTCTACAAGGACATTCACACACTAGCCAATAAAGATATGTTGCGAAGAAACTTGAAGAAATATAAACTAACTATATGCACAGTTACCAAAATGAGTTATTGGGAGGACTTAATGGCATAAATAAGCCAAACATAAATCATAGTTTTACAGAAGTTTGGGCATGCATCCAGTAACATATCATAGAAGAGAAAATGATAGTTACATATGAGCCTATCAAATATATCAGAAGCTAATGATCTGAGGTAGTGTAAGGGGATTTTCATCAATAAAATAGTTCGGAAGAAGCATGAGTGATATATTCTTTAGCACAATTAGGTATTGCATGAAAAAAATCTAATTCAGGAATGAATTTTGTGTCCAGGTGTTTGTTTTACAAGGTTCTGAACCTCTCAGAGTAATACTTAATTGTGTCATCATGTGCAGGGATAACACCAGACTCACCCTTCTGGTGTTCATGAAGTCACAGAAGAAAAAAATATGCATCAAAACCACAGATCAGTCTAGACAGTCATGCTCTGCAATGAGTTTTATTGAACTTATTTACAAACATATAATTGAATCAAGAGGATATACCTGAACAAATGACTGTTGTGGCTAACTCTTGCAGTGTCTTGCAGCTTAAATTCAATCCACTTATCAGGATTGAGAGCTGAAATTAGATAGAAACATCCACTGAGCTCATGGGGACATTGGCTACAGCTTTACATTGAAATTAAAAGTTTGACCAAAGTAATATAGTCATCAAACTTTGAATGACTTGATCCTAATCTAATTTGGGCAAAAGATACTCACCAATTTTTGGACCTGTCACGTCATTGATTTGATCTAAGTGAACCTGTAATTAAAAAGCAGAAGCAAAGTTGAGTTCTGAATTCCGAAGAAACATCAATGATGTACCATGAAATGATGTACATTTTCAACTCATCAACCGTAATACTCATTTCATAGCTTAAATATAACACAATCCAAACCATATAAAAATGCCTATCTCAATAATAAACTACAGCATCCAAAGGTTACACACTGATCCGTAATCAAAGAACTTAACCATGTGCAAAAGAAAAAGTAATAATAACAATCAAACACATTTTCTCCCAGATAAAAACTTATATCAGTTTAAACTACTCTAAAAACGAATTAAATGAATAGTGAGCGTACCAACAACAATCACTAAAACCAGCTTAAAGCCGAAAGAAAATATGCTTACACTGAGAAATATACATTTACAAGCAAGTGATCCATCAACCCAGTTTAATAAATGGCCAATTTTAAAGAATATGCAGATGGAGTTCGCAAGAGAAATTACCAAATTTGGAGAGGAAAAGTAGTAGTAGTAAGAGATTCCGCCAGAAGCTGCAGCAATTGCACCCAAGGGAAGTCGAAATTTACTGAAACTGGACTTGGGTTGGCCTCCAAATGCATTGTTGAAGGCAATTGGAGTGGCTTTGGCCAGCTTCCTGAAGAAACTACTAGCCATTTTTCACTTACAGTAGGAGAAACGAAGACAAAGAAAAGAATCAAAGAGTTTGAGGGTCGATTGATGAAGAAAATAAGAAACTATAAGGTGTGCTCGGGTTTTGTTTAAGAACTGTTCATCTCCTTGGTTATTGGGTTTGGGATGACAGATCTTCAAAAATCAACCATCACCATATCGCCACGTGTTGAAAATATTAGGGAGCGTATTAAGAATTTTCCTAAGAGAGGCGGCCCCATTCTAATGGGTCGTACTTTTCGGCCTTATTTATTTGGACGGGTGTAGGCCTAAAATTAATGTTGGGCCTAGATTTTATGGGCCAACTCACCTGATATGCAGCCCATAGGCGAATACAGTATTAAGAAGATGATAGATCAATTTAAATGATTGATTAGCAGGGATGAAACAATTACTTTTGATAATAAAATTCTGATGAAAATTAATGTTTCATCTAATTCCTTATCTTTTTTGGGTAATTAGTAATTTTATAAAAAATAAAGAATTAACGACTGAGCAAGATAAAACCCGAAGCAAAACAATCCTTTACAAACACAAATAACCGTTGAAACGAAACTAGTCCATACATCTCCTATGTGGTTAACAAATTATCTCAATATGAGCATCAACCATCAACTGAACAATGGGCTTTTGTCAAGTGTCTCTTGTGCTATTTGTGTGGCACTTGTTAGAATTCCTTCATCAAATGGTGTCATCTCTTTCTCCCCAGACTCAAGTGATTCAACTGTAGTAGTTTTAACAAACTTCGATTCTGCTTTATCTCCATAGATTTCCTCTAGTTAGTTTAATATTCAAAAGTTCTTTTATCTCTTCCTTGTGTTTAGGCATCTCTGTTTTAGTAAAAGAGTACAACACTCATGTATATATTGACCAAACTTGTAAATCAAATATATAATCACTATTTTATACTCCCTACTTGTTATGGTATCAGAGCTCCTTCCTCTAACAAGCTAGATCCTTCTTTCTTCCTTCCTGTCTTTTGCTTCATTCAACATTGCTCCAAATAATCTGTCAACAATTGTTGCTGTTCCCTCCAATTCTGCTCAGAATTTAATAACCATAAATGCTGCTGTTCAATTGCCTCTAAAGCTCACGACTCGTAACTATTTTTCCTAGAAAGCTCAATTCAACACCCTTTTCTTTGGTCTGGATCTTTTTGGATATCTTGATGGCACTTTCCCGTGTCCCTCTCCAACGGTGATCGAAAATGATCAGTCTATCCCCAACCCAACATATCTTCCATGGTGTCGACAAGACCAACTTATTCTTCATGTGATTTTTGTGTCTTTGAGTGAAGGTGTCATGCCTTTGGTCTATTCTGCAACAACTAGTCGTAAAGCCTGGACTCGTCTCTCTTGTCTCTATGCTAAGAGATCTACCACACACATGATTTATCTCAAGGATAAACTCACTACGATTACTTGTGTTTCTCTCTCTGTTACTGACTTTCTTGTCTCTATCAAACAAATTGCAGATGAACTCACTGCTCTTGGTGCTCCCCCAAGTGATGCCGACCTTCTTGTTTATGCAACTCGTGGTCTTGGTCCTACTTACAAGGAACTCATTACTGCCATGAGGACTCGAGATTCTGTTGTTCCATTCAAAGAATTATTTGATCAGATTATCAATCATGAGACCTCCCTTCTTGATAATGACAAACACAATTCAGATCCCCACCCACCCATTGCCCACTTAGCCAAACATTCCCCTTCTTCCTACCGAACTCCAAAACCCACTTTTCCTTCCCCAGCGCTTGGCTTCCTTCCTACTCCTGTTGTTGCCCATAAATAATACAAAACCAACCCCTCCTCTTCCCCACAGGTTGTCTATCAGTTTTGCAGCAAGCGTGGCCATGATGCCAAACGATGCTTCAAGCTTTTTCCTCAACTTCGCCAACCTCGCCTATTTGCCAATCATGTCACCACATTCTTGTTTGCTCAAACTCTATGGATAGTTGACTTTGGTGCATCTCACCACGTTACCCCTCAGATGTCGAACTTGTCTCTTCATCAACATTATGAGGGTCTTGATGACATTCAAATTGGTGATGGTTCAGGTTTAAAAATTATTCATACTGGATCTATTTCCTTTCCTTCTTCTTTCAATCTTACTCATGTTTTATGTGTGCCTTCTATTAAACAAAATTTAATATTTGTTTCCAAATTCTATCGCTCCAATCAAACCTCTATTGAATTTTTTCTTTCTTATTTTGTTGTCAATGATTTATGTACGGGGACTCCTTTCCTCCGTGAAAAGAATCAGCATGATCTTTATGAGTGGCTGATGGCAGAAGATGCAAATAATAACCCAACCGTAGCTTTCTCTGCTGGTGTAACTGCTTATGCATCTCCAGGAATTTGGCATGGGCGTTGGTTACCCATCTTTAAAAATAATAAAATATTTGGTTCAGTGTCATTAACCTCTTCTATTCCCCTTAATTTTATGTGTCAGTCTTGTTTGTGCAATAAAAGTCAATGTCTACCATTTGGCGAATCTACTTTAGTAAGTTGAGGGCCTCTTGATTTAGTTTACACTGACATCTGGGGACCTTCCCCTGTTCAATCTGTTACTGGTTTTTATTATTATGTTATTTTTGTGGATCATTTCACTAAATATGTTTGGCTATATCCCTTGTGTCTCAAATATGACGTGTTTACCATTTTTCGCCAATATAAAGTTGTGGTTGAAAACTTTTTAAAGCGTCCTACCATCTCTGTCTACTCGAATGGTGGTGGAGAATATATTGCTCTAAAAGATTTTCTAACCACAATGGGAATACAACATCTTAAAACACCACCTCACACACCACAACATAATGGCACTGCTAAAAGACGTCATAAATATATTGTTGACACTGGTCTAACCCTTCTTCATCAAGCAAAACTCCCTCCAAAATATTGGTCCTATGATTTTCAAACTGCGGTTTATTTGATTAATCGGCTTCCCACTCCTTTAATAGATTTTGCTTCCTTTTATGAAAATTATTTAACCGGAAACCAAATTACAATAAACTGACAGTGTTTGGGTGTCTTTGCTTTCTTTGGTTAAAACCATACAATTCCAATAAACTTGAGCCCAAATCTTCTCCATGTATTTTTCTTGGTTACTCTCTTAATCAAAGTGCATAATTTTGTTTAGATATTACCACAAAAAAAAATTTACACCTCTCCTCATGTTAGGTTTGTTGAAGCTAAATTTCCTTTTTCACATTCCACTTTGGCTGATTTTTCATCTCTTTATGATTGGCACTTGTCTTTACCTTCTTCTTCCCTAACAACTATGTCTTTGCCTCTTGTTGCGCAACACTCACCAGTAGAGACCACCATGGCAGCTCCTTTGCACATTTTGCCGCAACCTCTCATCATATCTTTGCCGCCTCTTTCTGCTAAGTCAGGTACTTCCACTCATAGCTCCTCTCCTCTAAATATTGTTTCTCCCTCACTTCCTGGTTCTTGTTCTCTTGTTGCAGATATTCCTCTTGTTGATTCCTCATCACAACTTCCAGCCCATCCTATGCCACAAAACTCTACCACCCTTCCACAAACTTCCTCTCATTCCATGACTACTCACTCCAAAAATAACATTTTCAAACCCAAACGTCTCTATTATACAACTACAAACCATCCCCTTCCCACCTCTGTTGAACCCACCTGTGTTACCCAGGCCATTAAATTTGTTGAATGGCATCATGCCATGTTTGATGAGCTTACGACACTTCTTCGTTATGGAACATGGGAACTTGTCCCTCATTCTCTTTCTCAAAATATAGTTGGCTGCAAATGAGTTTTTCGGATTAAATGACACCCCAATGGATCCATATCCAGGTACAAAACCTATCTCGTCGCCAAAGGGTATCACCAACGTCTTGGTATTGATTTTCATGACACTTTTAGTCCGGTTGTTAAATCCATGATTATTTAGCTGATACTATCTCTCGCCTGGTCCAATGACTGGCATTTACATCAATTGGATATTAACAATGCTTTTCTTCATGGAACATTGTCTGAAGAAGTCTTTATGCAGCAACTGCCAGGCTTTATTGATAAACACCATCCACACTTTGTTTTCAAATTACGGAAGGCCATTTACGGTCTTAAATAGGCTCCAAGGGCATGGTATACTGAGCTCAAAGGTTTTTTAATCTCCTATGGGTTTACTAATTCACGCAGTGACACTTTGCTTTTCATCTATCATCATAGTGGTATTATTCTTTATTTTTTCGTTTATGTAGATGATTTGATTGTCACCGGCAATGACAACCCGACTATCTCATGTTTTTTGAAAGCATTGGCATCTCGCTTTTCTACCAAGGACCTTGGTGATCTTTACTATTTTCTTGGTATTGAAGTTCTGCTAACCAACTCTAGGCTTCTCTTAACCCAGCACAAATATATTTGAGACTTATTGGAACGGAAAAAAAGGTCTGGAGCAAAAGAATGTAGTATGCCTATGTCTTCCACTCAGTCTCTTCAGCTACATAATGGTTCTTCATCCACCGATGCAACCCAGTTTCGGCAAGTTCTTGGTGGCTTCCAATATTTGTCCCTCACTTGGCCTGACATATCTTACGCAGTCAACAAACTGACACAATTCATGCACTCTCCAACTAAGATTCATTGGTCGACAGTCAAACGGATTTTATGCTACTTGAAAGCTACCATATATCATGGTCTATTTCTTAAACATCATCAAAAGCTTTGTGTTACGGCTTTTACAGACGCTGATTGGGCGGGCAGTCGTGATGATCACACATCCACTTCTGCATACATCATCTATCTCGGTGGTAATGAAATTTCCAGGTGTTTCAAGAAATAAAAAATTGTTGCCCGTTCCTCAACTGAAGCAGAATATCGGGCTCTTGCATCCTGTGTTGCTGAGGTGCTTTGGCTTAAAAATTTACTTACTTAGTTACATGTTAATTGCTTATCGCCTCCGCAGATTTTTTGTGATAACATTGGTGCAACCTATCTCTCCGTCAATCCTGTCTTTCACTCACGAATGAAGCACATCTCTATCGACTACCATTTTTTTCATGACCATGTGGCTCAAAGGTCCTTCACAGTGTCTCCCATCTCATTCAAAGACCAAATTGCTAATGCCTTGACTAAGCCCTTACCGTTTATCACCTTTCACAAATTACACTCCAAGATCGGTGTCTCCAATGGGAGTACCGTCTTGCGGGGGCCTGTTAGAGAAACTTCATCAGACGGTGTCATCTCTTTCTCCCCACACTCAAGTGATTCAACAAACTCCGATTCTACTTTATCTCCACATATCTCCTCTAATTAGTTTAATATTCAAAAGTTCTTTTATCTCTTCCTTGTGTTTAGGCATCTCTGTTTTGGTAAAAGAGTACAACACTCATGTATATATTGACCAAACTTGTAAATCAAATATATAATCAATATTTTATACTCTCTTCTTGTTAGTACCTTAGATGAGGGTGTTATAATTTATTGTGATTCTCCACTCTCTCTTCATGCCTTCTCCGATGCAGAATGGGCTGGAAATCTGGATGATTTCTCCTCTACTAGTACATACATTGTTTATCTTGGTCGTAATCCTATCTCTTGGAGTTCAAAAAAACAAAATAACATTGCTCGTTCTTTTACAAAAGCTAAATATTGCTCTGTTGCTACTATTACTGCTGAACTCAAGTGGGCCTGTTATCTCTTAATTGATCTTAGTATTGGTCTATCTCATGCTCCTGTCATCTATTGTGATAATATTAGAGCTACTTAGTTGTGTTCTAATCCCATGTTCCACTCAAGGATGAAGCATGTTGCAATGGACTTTCATTTTATTCGGGATTAGGTCCAGACAAGTTCTCTTCGCATGGCTCACATCTCCATTGATGATCAACTTGCAAATGCTCTTACAAAGTCGTCGCCTCATTCAAAATTTCAGTCTCTCAAAGTCAAGATTGGCCTCTTATTAAGTGTATATGGTATGTCGAGCTACTGTATTGTATGTCGAGCTACTGCTACTGTATAAGCTCAACTTGAACTTAAGCAGTTAAGCAACTTGAACTTAATTAGTTAGTCAGTTAAGTAGTTAGTTAGCTGTCGTTAGTCAGTTAGTTAGTTAAGTGTGGTTAGTTAACTATAGTTAGAAGTTAACTAAATTGTGCAGTTTGTATATAAACAATTCTTTGTATTCAGTAAAGTTAATCAGTTCATTTACTACAATTTTACTTTTCTTCTACATTCTCTAAAATCAACACCTCTCATCCATTTACCTATCTTGAGGGGTATATTAGATGATAGTTGTTATCATTGTTATTATCCTTTAGTTAGTTTGTTATCTAATTTTTGAATATTTCAAATGTAAATCTGATTGTATCTGAACTGTAACTTTAGCTTTAGGATCTTTAATTGTCTTCCTAACAACTCTTTTGAATTATATATTTTTTTGAATAGTAATGAAAAGATCTGACTTTGATCCCACAACATAATACAATCACACGAGGATAAACAATCCTTTACAACGCACAGCCCCCGTAACAAGGAAGCCGAAACAAGCAAAAATGTGACAACACAAATGAGAGAAGGAAAATGTGTCCTTAATAAGCCACAACAATGCAAAATTGAGAACTTCTTGTTTTTGACATCATTTGTGAAGAGAGCAGTTTGACCTATTCGTGAAGATGTCACATTGACAACACTATGGAGAATGAGGTGTCAAAATATCGTTTGCGATGGCCATTATCTCAGAGGACTCTTTGTGTTACAAGACAAATGAGAGTGTCTTCTTTCAAAGGAATCTCAATCATCATCATGTTTAGTTAGAAAATAGCTTCACCTACAACTAGTAAATACTAATTACAGCCCACAGATATGTTTGTTTTCTCATCAAGAGATTAAAATATTAGATATTCGTAACTTCATCTGGATATGCACAATATATCCATAATAAGACAAAGTGATAAACTGATTGACAGATATTTTGGTTTTGAGAAGGACATTTCAACTTACCTCAAAACTCAAAAGCTTTTGAATCATTTTACTGTCTGCGTGTCATAGTTCCACTAATGACCGTCTCTGTTTGTTGAAGATAGAAACATTTTACTCAATAATTTATCACCAACCAATGATTTAACACAGAGGACAAAATCTGACATTATGTGATCATTCATAGGTCCACTCACCATGCTGCCCCTTTATTTATATTTTATAGTACCTGTTGTTGTAGATCAAACAGCGACCCTTCACACATGTTTGAGGTTGAGATATGATAAAAAGCAGCCAAATAATAATAATAATAATAATAATAATAATAATAATAATAATAATAATACTCATAATAAGTAAATAAAGAAGAAAGAAGAAAAGGGAAGAGCACACAATAATTGATGTGATTCGGCCATAATGGTTTACATCCAGAAATCAAACATCAGAAAAACAGCTAATTACTGTGTATTTTAATGAAAAGTGATTATAGGGTTGTTCATTGGTTGTGGTAATCTTGATGGGTTGGCTGGCAATTTGACTCGTGCTCAAGCTTTTCGCCATTCAGGGAACCATTTCATTTAACAAGTAGCCAGTAATTTTGAAGGCAGTGCCACACAGCCGCCGATGCCTGGTTCTCTTGTAACTGACATATAATATATAATTATTGTCATTATATTGAAAAGTGGACAGAGTGCGGTGGCAAAAGGTGACTGGACGACAATAATGCAGATTCTTTCCACTTACTTATGATTGGTCATTCCATGTGATACATGCATTCAGCATTTATATATAAGACCTTCAGAGTATAGGAATTCTTGACTTCCTTTATCTGCATCGTTATCTCCATTTGCATTCTACTTGTACTACATTCATCTGACAAATATGGTTTTTTTTTTTTTTTTTTTTTTCCTTCTGTGAGGCTTCTTTTATTGTTTATCTTTTAGAATTTGTTTGAACATGCTTGAGTTTAGATTCTGAAAGAAACCCCTAACTTTCTCTCTGGGGTTTAGATACTTTTGATTTTAGATTCGGTCTCTAAAATCTCTACTCTGAAATCCTCGACATGTTACTAAATTCTTTTAAGTGGGTTTTGTTGTCAGAGTCTCAAGTTGTGCAATATTGGTGTAGCACTGCTCTGGAGATCGTCTAGTTGTTTATAGGTGGTTCAGAAAAAAATTATTCCTTAGATAGTGAAATTCATAGGATTACTTGTAACGGCTGGATTTATAGAAGCTTTTAGCGGCCAGGAATGTTTGATGGTGGCATGACTATGTCTTTCCATACAGTCAATTGCCCGTCCGTTCTTCTAAGTAATTTAGATAAGAATAAGACTCAGTATAGAGCAAGAACAAGTCCATCTCTAGTTGTACAACCATTTTCATTTCAGGCACAAATCTATGAGAGTAGAAATTTATCGGAATCCAAGAAGTTTTCAGGTTCAGCTACAGCTTTAATGAGATGTCATTCTTCTAAATCTTTGAACAAAGCAAATACTGTTGGTATCATTGGAGGGGTATCCGTTTCTTCAACTCTTAGTTTCCTGGAAAAGCTTGCTAGGTGGAGTTCAAGAGATGCGAAAGAATGTGTTCCTTTCGTCTTCTGCTGTGATCCAGAATTAAAGAATGAACTCTTTCACTCATTAAAGAGAACAACTGCTCAAATCAAATTAAATCATGGTCTAATTGTTGAGAATTTGCTGCACCAAAGGTCCTTTGTTGAGCAATCTGGCGCTCGTTGCATAGTTATGCCTTGCCATGTTTCACATGCTTGGCATGGCGACATATCTGAGGGATGTTCAGTACCTTTTCTCCATATTGGTGAGTGTGTTACCAGGGAGCTTAAAGAAGCAAAGTTAAAGCCATTGGAAACCGGAAGTGGTGTGCGGATTGGGGTGCTTACTACACATGAAACTTTTACTGCTGGAATTTATCAAGAAAAACTACAAAGTCAGGTATTAATTAATAATTATTGTAATTGAGTTATTTCTTCTTTAGTTGATCCAACAAAACTAGTTTCACATCACTTTTCTATAGTCCATACTACTTAAGGATATGGAGGAACCCAGATTTTTCCAGTTCAGTAACTAATTTCTACAGTTATTATTGATCTGTGTTCCGGGGAGGTTCAACTTCGTTGAACCCTCTAGACACTTGGTTGAATATCCAAGTGAAAGAAGTGGATAAACTAATGAAAACAGTTTTCTGTCTGGGTATTATTATCTTACTGTGCAGGGTTTTGAAGTTGTGTTGCCAGACACCGCAACCAAGGAGCATATTATAATTCCTATAATCGAAACAATGAACAGAGGGGACATGGAAGGGGCACGGAATCTCTTAAGAATTGCCATTCATGTTCTGTCGATCAGGGCTGTGAATACTGTAATCCTTGCTTCGGATGAAATGCAAGATCTTTTACCGCATGATGATCCTCTTCTTAAGAAATGCATTAATCCCATGGATGCTTTGGCCAGGTCAACTGTGAAATGGGCTAGATCAAATAAAATGGTACATTAAATACAGTTGTATTATTCCCACCATTTTTTCATTGCTTTCAAAACCATCTTCTTGCACGGGGGTTCCATATACGGGAAAGAAGTGCTGTCTTGTTTTGTATTAACGTGCCAATGATGGGCTGTTACTAGAAGATCACCATACCATTACCAAAGACAGATAGATACATGATTGCTTGACATTAAAATAGCACCTCGGACCAGGTAAAAATATTAGATTTTGGCAATGGCCATTTCCAAAATTGAAATAACATAAACAAGTGAAAGCCAAGATTCATGCCAATAGTGACTAGTGCGGAACTGCTCTAATTTAATTTTAGGAATTTACTAACTGATAGAACAATACATATTACAGAAAAAATTTCACAGCGGTTGTGTGCCAACTAGCCATTACCAGCTTCAGAAACAGTTATCATAAACACCATATTGAATATGAGAAAGAAAAAAAAAAAAGCAATAAGGAATATAAATTACAGATTCACAGTTGCTTGAGTTCAATAGAGGCCACCACTACAAATTTGATATAGAACTGCTAGATTGGTCTGTTCGAACTTGGACACCATTTGGGGCAACATCTTGGTGGACCCAGGAAGAGATGAGGTGGTGGGCAATCGCAAAGGGACCTGGGATAAACATTGTAGCAAGTTCCCCACTTTCAACATTAAAATCTGCTGCTAAGCTCTGTCCTTTCTCAACTCCCTTGCACATTTGCTCCACCTTCTCAGCTGCTGTTCTTTGTGCTTTCTTGTATTCAGCAAAGGTTAATGCCCTTTTTACATCTTCTCTACTGTGCCATTGAGCATCTGAACAGACAAGGTTTCAACATTTTACTTAGCAAACCTAAGTGGAGTGAAAAAATATCTTGGTTGCCGAGGTGATTTTCATTTTTCTAGTCAACAACTGAAATCATTAAGTTTATTCTATTTGCATGCATATGAAAGACGGAAAACCATGACCACATTATCTGAGCTACAAACATGAAAATTGAAATGTCAAGATTAACTTTATCTAGACATGCTCTGCAGATCTTTTTGATGATTTTGTACCAATTTAATTAAACATATCATAAAAATTTGAAAAGATTATAATAAAATGAAAGGAGTAAGAGCATACATCTGAAAACTACCAGGGTAATATCTAAGCAATGTAACTTATCATATTGAAAGGAGAACATAAGGGGGAAAACGTAGTTGATTACATTTATAAATTCTAAATTTTAGCATTACCTTCCAACTCTTCTTTGTCTACATTTATCTCCAGTGATTTCGCATATGCCAAAAAACCCACCATCAACTGGCATGGCATGCTACTCGGGCCAACTGAAACAAACCAAACAAGATCTTAGAGTTAACAAGAGAAACTGCCATAAGAAGAGGAGGAAAACCATAAGACAAACTAATCAGATTTTTAAGCTAACAAGATAGTCATAAGAAGATAAAAGAGAATCATGCAAGACTTGTTTCACTTCTGACATAGTTACTTTCTGATGAGTACAGAAGGTTTTCTCTTTTTCTTTTAATGAATATGAATATGTAGTTAATGTGACCTTATTGCGAGAATTGTACTAGAATAACAAGAAAATTCTACTCTGATTGATATGATACCAAACACATTCTACTTTTATGTTTCCAGCAAATAGATGCCACTGATGGAGTGATAACTAAAAGATGCTGTTGACAAGACAATGAACCATTATATTATAGATTACTACTATCATACAAAGTTAATATCGATTGGAAAAACTTGATGAATATTCAGCTGAGATGGTTGATTGAGTATACTAAAAGATGTTGTGGATAAGGAATAGTATGGTTCAAGTTGAAGAATTTACAGGGGCATGGATATTTTATAGCTTAGAAAACAAATTATCGAAATGATTTATTAGGCAATATTGTCCCACATAGTTTGAAACTACAACGTAAAGATTTTATAACCAGTTCCTACTTGCTTGGGTATGCATTTGCACAGCCCAGTCAAGTCAAAACTTTTTCATATAAATGGCAACATTATATGGTTTTCAATTATATAAATTAGTAGTCAAAGCTTCATGAGTCACTGCATTTTGCATTCGCTAGCAATAATATTGCAAGTCAAAAAATGAAGAAACAACATAAGAATTGGTGGAAATGATACCAGGCCATGGTTGAGAACTATGATAGATAACATCTCCCACTTCAATACCAGTCTCTTCCCATGTTTCTCTCCTCACTGCTTCTTCCAAGCTTTCTCCTGGCTAAGGACAAGAAAAGTATTCAAACAATGAGAAGTTTCACCTAAGAGAGGGAGAGAGAAAGAGAGAGATACTATTAAGTTGGCCAATACACACACCTCTATAAAACCTGCTAAACAACTCCACATGCGAGGGACAAACCTTGACTGTCTGCTTAAAAGTGCACGATCATTCTCTCTATCTATGACTAACATAATGACTACCTGTAGTAACAGCACGAGTCACAAATGCAAGGTGACATTCAATGTTCTGAATATATAAATTCCAATAAAGACAATGGTTAAAACAAAAAGAGAAGAGCATCAATCACCATACTGGATCAACACGAGGGTAAATCCTCTTATTGCACAGAACATTTGAGCACTGCTTACGTCTCCCAGCTTCCATGGGAACTGTTTTTGCCCCACAAACTCCACAAAAACGTGATAAGTTATGCCACTCCAGCAATGCCCTGGCCTAATCAAAAGACCATAGATGAAGCCATCAGATACAAGTTGTGAATTTGACTCAAAATTTGTAGTATTTAATACGGTTACGGTGCAAAGCAGCAATCAAATTATCAATTCAGTCAGAAAATGAAGAACTAAGAGGGAAAGGGAAGAGCAGACCCGAGATTTTATCAAAAATAATATTACCCTTAAACAAATCCCCTACCCCCCACCCCAAAAAAAAAGTGATATTAAGAAAGAAATAGAATTAAAAATATGTTTGGCTTCTTTTTGGGTTTTCAGAGGGAATTAAGTTAAAAGAAAAGAAGAATGTATAGTTGTGGGTAGAAGCAACAACATACAAGACAGGCATAAATCTTCATGTAAGTGAAAGAAAATTATTTAAAGCACAAAAGTGCATCTTGAATACGCAGGGAATATATGAGAGAACAGAAAACTAAAGACCTTATCTTTAGAACATCTTAAATGACTCAAAAAATTAAAAAATCATCAAAAAGAACATCATGGACTTGATGTAAATCAACCCATGTAATTGTTCTAAGCAGTACAGTAATTTTTTTATTCCAAACAAGAGACACCATATTAAGCACAAATGAATCACTTCCGATGCTAAAATATATCTTCTCCTCCCAATGTCCAACCTCTAACATTCCGATAAATCAAATACTGGCACATCACCTACATATGCATAAAGTAATACTATGAACCAGAACTCTGTTATCAAATGGCACCATAACACCATCACATTGTATAGATTTAAGAACTTAACTTCCGTCAAGTCTCCACCCATTTTATTTAACAAACTGCTAATAGAATTGAAATCATATTTGCATTCTGAGTTTCTGACTTTAGTTTACAAATACAAAACTCAGATCAAGCAACATTATCTTGGCAGTCAACCGAATGTTGTGATTGTTAATGGGGCATATACATTAGTTTATAACAAGCTGATAAAACTAACTCAACTAACCAAATTCATCAAACAGTTATAAACATTTACATGAAATCAACAGTAGAGACCAAACCCATTGACAAAAGAACAAATACCGAATTCTAATTAGTTGATTCAATTTTTCACTTACATTACCAGCAATAGCTAATTCACCCATAGCCCGCTCATCAGCCCAGTCGGTGGCCACCATAAGCGTCCTCAGTTCAACAAAGCAAAATTGCTTACTACCCAATTCAGGAACCAAGCCAGCCTCGCTTGAAACGTCGATAGCCCAATACACCACATCATCCTCAGAGCGGGAACCCAGATAAACTAAACAGTCTTCACTCAACTGGACCCCAGAATTTTCCAATAAATTCCTGCAATCAGGCAAGCTGATCCAACCCAGATGCCAACTCGGGGTCATTTCACCAGGGATAGACGAGGCTAAAGGCCTGCCTTTTCTAAAAGGCAAGACCTTGAAATCAGGAGAAGGTGGTTGTTGAAGGAGAGTGTTGTCTAAAAGTTGTGTTTTCAGTGAATCAAGAGCTGAGTTTGGTGAAAAAGGGTCAGTTGACTTGGGGGTTTTTGATCTTATAGGATTGCCAGCAAAGGCATGAGATTGTAGGTTAGTGGACATGGTGGCTGTATTTCTGCTGAAAAAGGAGAGAGTTAATGAGGGCTTTGGGAGAGAGAATAGTTTCTTAGAGAAAAGAACAAGAGATGAAGATGAAGATGAGGAAGAGAGGAGCGTGAGCATGGCTCTCATGTTCCATTGGGTGGTTCACAGGGTTTAAAGGAGTAACGGAGAAAAGCCGAACGGTTAGGTGGTGACTTAGGTTATTGGTGTACTGACAACTGTCCTTGATTAGATACTTCTGTTAGTTGAAGAGGGGCCCATTTCATTACCCGCCAAGCCCAACCTAGTTCTTCTACGGTTCTACCTAGTGCAATTGTAGTGGTTAATATTTTCCTCCGCCGCTTAATTGTTTTGACGATCCAGTAGATGCCACTTGCCATTCATTATTTACCCTTTATGTGTTTTGTATGAATTTAAAATATAAATAAGTATTAGTTAGTCTGATATTGTCTTTAACATATATATATATCATGTCAACCATTCTTGTGAAGTGGTCAAGTAAAACTCTTAAAATGGTCTTAAATTCTGTTATGCCCGAAAAAGTAAGATTGACGCAGAGTCTTATCAGCATAGGGTGATCAGAACTTAAGAAGGTTCCACGACCACTCAGATGTGGCCACATCGCGTGATGGCGTCAGTGGCATGCTCCTGCCAGTGTAGTGGGTGAACACCAGGTTGGTGAATGGCTGGAAAACATCCACGTGTCCAATCCCTACATAAGTCAAGGAAATCACTCGGACAAGTGAGCAATGGGACGCAGGGAAGGATTTGCACGATACCCATCCCATTTGCAGATTTAATAATCATTACCGTGATTTATCCCACTATAAATAGAGATCTTCTCTCTCATTTACAGGATTGACTAATTTCACTCTGGAATAGCATACTCTCTCTCTCTCTCTCTTGTATTCTCTAAACTGTAACTCAACTCGCTGAACGCGACCTGACTTTACTCTCTTTAATATAATATCAGTAGACGTAAGATTCGCCTTTGGACATTCGAACTACTTTAAACATTATTCTTCATTCTTTACTAAACTAAGTACTTCCATAATCACGTGTGACTTCTAAACCCGCTTAACATTTCTCACGTGCGAATAGTTGATGTCAAAATCAAACATCAACAAATTCGATTCACTTTAGTCCTTAATAAGGGTGACCATTTGAGCGCTCTTTCCCTGTCGATAATTTTAGGGTCTCGGAAGATTAATTGAGATACACACAAATTGAGTAAAACACCACCAGTCATAAAAAAATAATCATAATTTAGATGAGAAGTCAATTTTCTTTTTCAGGAAATGCACACTCATACTTTGATTTCAAGGACGTCTTATTTGAATTTCCAAGAAGCAATGGCTAATTCCAAACTGCTACACATATCTTTCATAAGAAGAGATAACACTGTAAAAGAGAAGAAAAAATTAGAAGGCAATGAACCAAATTAACCTATGGTATATCATCAAGCGAAAACAATCTGCAATCTTATATGCCTATAAGACAATAACTGGAACAAAGACTTGTATATTATCAATTAGAGCAGAATCGCCAATGTTTCCAATACAACTTCTACTTGAACTCAGCTCTCCACTTGACTTGACAAATTGTGCACTAAGGGCATATCATCAAGCCAGTCTCCATAAATCCGATTGATTTTCTTTGGTCCTTTCCACTTGACTAAGCAGTTCTTGCCCTGCCCTTCTTTGCTTAAAGTAGGCATATTCACTGTGGTTGATGAATCATTTACAGGAATCAATTGAGGCTTTATTGGAACGAAACCAGCATTCCCTGCTTCAACTTCAATGCGTCCACTGGTTACCTGTAATTCTGAGCACAAAACAGTCCGCATTACGGAACGAGTTGACCGAACAAGAGTTTCCTTGTGCATCAACCTAAACAAATTGAATAAATATACTAATCTAGTATTCTAGTCTTCTCATATATAGATAAATGAATATGCAGACAACACAATTAATCGGAAAACCAAAGTGAACAACACAACTCAGCAAGACAAACAAATAGGTTAATAGATTTATAAGAAACCAAATATAAAGGTCCATATTCCCTATTCCCTTTCTATTCATAAGTTAATAAACCAATATGTATCTATTAATCATATCAATATCAGAAATATGCTATTACCTCAGGAACATTACAATTTCTCACAAATGAAATTTTGTAGTACATAGATAGCATGCTTCTGTTGCACAAGTGATCATAGAAGAGAGTTCACTTGCAAAACAAAAGTTATTATCCTAATAAAATCCATTGAAAATCACAAGTTACCAATCAAAATTCAAATCAAATACATAAAAAAGAAGAAAGAAAAAATGGTACCGGTGGTGTTGATAATTTATAGTTCAATCATCCTGATTCCAAACACCACCGAAAAGACAATAAAGAACCAGGGCAGTATAAGCAGAACCAGTCAGAGCAAATTTATCGATCAGAATTCACAATCATTGCTTAACCAATTCAAAGTTCTTTCGTATCAAAACTTTTGAATCTGGTTGGTGCTAAGGAAAAAAATTAACGAGTAGGCGATAGAAGTTCTAAATTCCTAGAGATGGAACTGAAGCTGCTTCTAGGGAATAATACCGTCAACATAGAACTTTAGTCCAAAAGAGCGATCTACATGAGAGAAAAGACTCCGCAAAACCTCATGCAATATCTATGATCATCTCCAAATTAATTATATCATACCTACGTTCTCAGATCACCAATTCCAAACCAAAAGTAGAGCAAAAACCTAAGTTTGCATAAAGAAAACGTAGTCACAATTAAGGCAAATACCATAATCTAACATCATATACCTGACTCCCCGTGAGCAAAGTGACATTTTTCTCCAAAGGGACATTGACCTGTTGTCCACTTAGAACACAACTTTGTCTTCCAATATACAGGTTTCACACTAGTGTTGTTGACAGACCTATTGCTATCAGGTTGATTAAAACTGACTCCATGCACCACAGGTGGCCCTGTAGTCCCAATGCTTATTGCTGAGCTCTCCCTGTACCTCCCTGAATCATCCCTAAACTTTGAAGGATCTTCATGAAGAAAATTACATCTATCACCATAGGGACACTCCTCTCCATTGTAAAACTTCTTGCATAGCTTCATCTTATGAATTATCTTCTGATCATCATCCCAATTACCACCACCACCACCAGATGATCGATCCTCCTCAACACGGCCACCTCCACCTCCTACGAGTTCTTGCCAATTGGGAGGAGGCTGTCTCAAGTCCTCAAGACCATGTGCAAAGTTGCAATTCTCACCATTCCTACAAGTACCCTGCTTAAATTTTGCACAAACACGCGTCTTGAAGAAAATGTTAGTTGTTCCTTTATTAATTGGAGGGTTTAAAGATGGATTCATCCTATGAAATTGTGAAGGGTTTGATTGGTTCTCTTCAAAGTTTCTAGGTCTCTTGAAAGGAGGCTGTTGATCAAATTGCGCATGCTGCTCATATTGTTGCTCATTATTCATTTGATACTGAGGCCAGACACCAATGGCATCACTGTCTACAGAAAAAAGCTGTTGCTGTGGCGCCAAAAAAGAAGCGCTAGGGTTGGGAAAACTCATATTGGTTAATTTTGAGGGCTGAGATTCAAATAACCCCCGTAATATATTAAATACAATATAATCAATATATATAATTTGGATTCCAAACTACCGAAAACAGTAAATTGTTTACGAAGAAATCAGGATCAAAATAAAAGGAATAGAAATGTATAAACAAATTACACCCAGATGAATCTTTGCGTAAAAATTGAATCTCGTCGAGGAAAAGAATCAACTAACAAAGACCGATCAAAATTTTTAAAACCCGGAAAACAAAATCAGTAAACGGAAGCTTGGAGACGAACAACCAATACCCCTATGACGCAAACCAAACTAATACTAGACTGAAAACGAAACTTGAAAGAATAAAACAATTAAAACTCAAAATTTAAGAAAATATCAAAGCTTAGAACTTTCAGATACGGTATATATATAAGAAAAAGGAGAAGTAAAGAATATATATATATGGTACAAAAACCCTAGCCGCCTACCACAAGCCCTAAATTGAAAAAGAGAAATTTTGGTTTGTAAAACCTAATGTCCTAAACCAAACAGAACTTGGAGTGGTGCAGACCTAAAGTCCTTCGAAACGGCTAAACCCCTATCACACACAAAACCCTATTATTAATTAATTAGTAAAGATGGTAATTTGTTATTACTAATTACGGTTCTTAATCTATAATTAAGGTGAGGAGGAAAAGTCAGTTACGGGTCAGACCTAAACAATTGATGCCCGTATCCGTAATTCATGGACTGGGCTTCAAGAAGTGGGCTCTCAGAGACCCAAATTTATATGAACGACAGTTCAACTAGTAGTTTAACAGAGCTCGAGCCTGAACTCTTTAAAACTCAAATTATTTAGTTGCAAGTATCTTCTGAAAATTATGTAGATATAAAACTCTGAATAAGAATATATTATAAATAAAATATCTCTGCAAATTTGAGGATGGAATAGGAATAGGGATAAAAATAAGAATATATCAAGAATCGAATATCTCGACAAATATAAGGGTGTGAATTAACTTTAGTTTATAAAAGAAAAAAGAACAACTTGAACATACCGATAATAAATTATTTGATGCTTATACTAGGTATATCCAGCCATACTAACTCATCATATTTCTGCACAGGAATTTGTAGCAGCTTAGCTATAAAAGTGAACTGCAGAACACGTTAAATGGGGTAGATAACCTTTGAAGAAGTTATAGTTAGTAATTAGTAGAATGTAGATTATCAAAGGAAGTTGCAAAGTTCCCTCGAGAGAATTAAATCAATACACTCTTCTGATATAACTTGTAAATGCACTTATGCTTTGGTTAACCTGAGGCATTGAGTGCCAACACTAGACATGCCGATCGAGAATAGCTGCTACTCATGCTGATACAATTCGTCATTCATATGTTCTTGAACAAGGAAAACAGGTTACATAAAGGTAGCTTAGAGTAAACAAAAGAATCTCTTAAAAGCTAAGTAATGGAGCGTAGAGAGGAGACAACAACATATGTAAATTTGCCCTTTTTCCCAAAAAAATACACATCCTCAACTTGCACCTTAAGTCAATATGCATTTACTCAATTAGATCATCATGAAGTCAATGAGGGTTACATAACAGTGCTTGGGTTACATATCAGTGCTTATATTTTTTTACAGAATGGAGTCAATATCCAACTCATGGGTGAAGCAAATGAAGGGGTAAAACAACAGAGCTATGAACCTTTAAAATGAAGGCAAAAGCGAGGAAGAAAAAGTTAATTTGACTCACTTTGAACTTGGCATTGCATCTGTGCTTTTATAGCAGAGAGCATCTGGTTCTTATCTACATAATTATATATTTCTTCGAGATTTGATGCTTAAAGGGATCATAAATTATTGCTCTGAGAGAAAGCTTGTCTTTTGAAGTAAATTACTCATTGTGATTCCATGAATCTTATGTGTCCTGAGTTTTTGCATGCTCTCACAATTTTCCTTTGCATTGATTGAATTCAAAACTGTAGTAGTAGTGTAGTGGTGGTCCATGATTAAAACTTGAATTTGTAACTTTTAATCTTAGCTACCACAGCCTATCATTGCTTGGACCACCTCATCAAATTAAAGTACTATTGAAATTATGTTGCTCCCCAAATGACACCCAGGGGTGAGAGAGAGAGAGAGAGAGAGAGAGAGAGAGAGAGAGAGAGAGAGAGAGATTTTCAGAAGTGCTCAGGGAAAACATAGTATCTTCATTAATTAAGATAGAAAAGAAAAACAAGAGATTTCAAAAGCTTCATGTTAGAACAACACCATGCACCATACATTAAAGCCAGAAACCCTTCCAATTCCAAATGCAGTTACATGGCCTGCTTGCTTCAGAAAAAGGGCTTTCTACCATGATCAATCTAGCCAGCTAAATGTTATTAATTATCTCCGGTACAAGAGTAAACTGACAAAGATATCAGACGTGAAGGAAACAAGCTCGAGATATTCTTCTTAATAAATTTCTATCTCTAAACTCCACCACCTGAAATTATAAAGCAACAAAGCAAAACAAGTATTATAAAACTGAGACTGCACAAGCTCATGTACCCAATTACTTTCTTCACCAAGAAAATATTAAAGTAATGATGATGAGTATACCATATCCTTTTGGTGCTTTGCATTTAAAGCATTCTGTCCTTTTAGCATAGTTGTGAACTCCACATTCCAATCTGTTTTGACAAAAATTTCAGACTAATTATTTGGACTGATAAGACATCGGATTAAGAGCTGGAAAAAGTTACTCTTCATGTATGCATGCATCTAATTAACTATTTTATTATTAATTCTATAAGAATATTGTATATGATAAATGGCTGCACGATTCAAACAAAGAATTGGATTGTATAGTCACAGTGGCATATAATGAAACAATGCTGCCTAATTTCTGGAAAATTTTGTTTCTTTAATAATTTTGACAATGTACACTCTATAATCCAAGAATGCACATATATCAACCGGGAAACAACTTTCAAAAGGAAGCTCCAGGATCATAGGTTTTGTGGGGATGAGGAAGAATGTTTATAAACACTACAAATTGGGGCTAGAATAACAGTGAATTTTTAATTAAACGTGTACAAGTAGGATATTTCATGTCAAGTTATTGAAATTATTTCCCTATGAGTTCCCCCCAGCAAGGAACTGCATGTGTAAATTAATAATGTTTTGTTTATTTATGAATTCCGTAAGTAAAGATGTAATTGCTTTTGATCATTTTTAGTTCTGAGTTAGCATTCACTTTTGAAAAGAAAGATAAGGTCTGCTGATGAAAGAAATCCTTGCTCAAAAAAGAAAAATAAAAAAGAATGCAACAATCAATGTGATAGGTTGGAACAACAGTTGAGGTTTCTCATGGTATTCTTACTATCTGCTGAGAACAAATTGTGAATGTGAACTCACCTTGGGCAAGTCCAGTCACCAGGTTTAGTCGGGCCGCCCTCTTGTTTTCTAGATCCACATATGTAGCAGTTTGATCGGCTGGCAAAATTGTGAGCTCCGCATAGAGAATGATTTTCAAAGTTCATAGCGGTGCAATACCAGTCTCCCAGACGGACCACTTGCCATGATGATGGATCAGGGCCACCATACTTAGGGTAACTGCAATTTTGGCATGCATCTCGCTTTTTGAAATTCTGGTTTTGGCAGGCGGGACACATCCAATCTCCTGCTGTCCAGCTCATTTTTCTATCCTGCAGGAATAGGACAATATAAACTATATGAATTATCATTCTAAAATATATAAAAATGCTACTGTGTGTTCAGGAATTAGAAACAATAAAACATGCTGAAGCTACAACCCGAAACTCCTTCCACAAATTTACAAAGAAATTTCTATAATCATGGTCTTCCAGATCAATTAATGTTCTTTTGTAACAAGAATGTAACTCCTCCTATCCCTTCAGGGGCTACCCAACTGTAACTTCATTCATTGGGTTAGAAAAGGCAAAACATAAAAGCTTGAAATGGAGGAACTCACCTTAAGAAAGAGCTTGAACAAAGAAAAAAAATATAGTACTGCTGTACTGGTAATTAAGTAGTAGCTAGCAAGATGTAGAAGAGATTGTTAATACTGCAGTTTGGTGATTTTGGTGTTTGTGTTAGGAGGGTTTTTATACATGCTAAAGCCTCAAGAGTGGGGCCATTGATGTTGCTCTATCCTTTTTTGCCTTTTCTCAGATGTGGTTTCCTTAAGATGGGATACCGAAAGTAGAAAATTATAATTCTGAGAGATTGAGATAAACCTGCTTATTCATCTCCAGTGAAAGAAGAGCTAAACATACTATTTTTCCTAGTAAATTTCCACTAATGCCCCCCTCTTTATACGATTCCTTGCATTATTGCAAAAGAAAAACTTTCAAGAATTATTATTCTCCTCTCCATATCCATTTCTAGCTAGTAAGGTGCTATTGGGGGAGATGTTACTTGAAGGCTGGCTAGCTATCAGCATTTTTACCTCTTAAACCATATCTCTTTACTCTAGAAGAATTGGTCCCACACGCAAATGCCAACGTGGATGCTCACGTGGAATTTATCCAACTTGCATATTTCCATATACAAACAATTTCCAGGAGGAGGCTTAAGTAGTTCCGGTGGCACATGAGTGATGAGACAGTGAAAAGGTTGAGAGAAAACATTTAACCAGTTCATCCTTGGAATCAATTCCTTATAATGCACATCCGTTGCCAAATTCTTCTTTTCATGTTTAGATTCCTGTTCTCCAATAATTCAAAAGTTTTTGAGGATTCACATCTCCATTGGCTCTTTTATTTTCTGCTCCTTCCCATTATAATTTGCATATGCATGTCAATATTCCAAATTAGACTACACGAACAGGGCCTCTTTGCTCTTGATGCATTAACATGTGTACGCGAAAAGCCACAAAACAAAATGCGTTCGTGGAATTCCTTGTTCCTAATAGCCAGCCAAGTGTTAAAAAAATCAGGTTCAAAGTTAACTAGGAGAGGTTTATATGGTTAGCAAAATAAGGCTACATTTTTTTTTTTTGTATATTTTAACTAGAAAAAAGGAATGTTCTTAGTAGTTTATTAATTGGAATAAGAATTGCGGCGGCTTGACGCTGCAGGCAAGAATGGGCAGGAACCAGGAAGGAGAAGCTAGTTTTAATTATCTGGAAAGTAGCACATTTTAGGTGGGCTCCTTTGGACTGTGAACTGCATGATAATATAGTTAAATATACAGGTTTAAATGCTTGCAAGAATCATATTCGTCTTAACCTGAAATATAAAAGTATTTTGCATAATTGATTGGGGCATTTGGTGTTAAAATTTGGCAATGAAGCCCTCCAAGTTCATGCATCAAGGCATGCCAAAAGAATGTTGTTCAGCATGCATATATGCTGTAAAAGCTGTGCATGGTTCATGCCTTGAGTAAAAANTTCAAAGTTAACTAGGAAGATTTATATGGTTAGCAAAATAAAGCTCCATTTTTTTTGTATATTTTAACTAGAAAAAAGGAATGTTCTTAGTAGTTTATTAATTGGAATAAGAATTGCGGCGGCTTGACGCTGCAGGCAAGAATGGGCAGGAACCAGGAAGGAGAAGCTAGTTTTAATTATCTGGAAAGTAGCACATTTTAGGTGGGCTCCTTTGGACTGTGAACTGCATGATAATATAGTTAAATATACAGGTTAATTTGAATGCTTGCAAGAATCATATTCGCCTTAACCTGAAATATAAAAGTATTTTGCATAATTGATTGGGGCATTTGGTGTTAAAATTTGGCAATGAAGCCCTCCAAGTTCATGCATCAAGGCATGCCAAAGGAGTGTTGTTCGGCATGCATATATGCTTTAAAAGATGTGCATGGTTCATGCCTTGAGTAAAAACTTTATGAAAAATGCTAAAGATATCGACGTTTTACACCGAATTTTTACACCAAACGATATATCTACTGAATCAGACGAGCCACGTATTACGTTAACAAATATTACACGAATGAACAGTCGTCCATCAAATATGGACGATCGTCCATTGTTATTGGATGACCATTCATTTTAAATAGACTCCGGTTCATATTATATGGATGATCGTTCATCTATAATAGATGTCCGTCCATAATTTAAACGAAACAAATTTAAAAACAAAAATCATGGATGCCCATCCATATATTATGGACGGGCATCCCTACTGAATAGATGGACGTCCTTATTAGATGGACGTCCGTCCATTGTTTAAATTAAAAAAAAAAAAAAAAAGTAATAGACGGGCGTCCTCTTAGGTAGACGCCCGTCCATTTCCCTATTTAATAGCACATGTTTCTTTACTTTATTTTCATGGCATCTGGTTCTTCACTTTTTTTTCCATGGTAGAATATTATTTCTGATGCAATAATCACCACTACAACCACCACCACCATCGGAGAACCAGATCCACGAATAGAGGTGATGAAAGTAAATAGAAGTTGGAGTTTAGAAGAAGAAAATAAAAGGAAACAATTTAGATGGTGATGAAAGAAAGAGACGAGGAGCTGGCTTTGTTTCTTGAAATGCGAAGACACGAGAAGGAGAAAAGTATCTTCTTCTTCTTCTTCACAACTCTGACGACATCAATAGTAACATTAGACCCTTCTTCAGTCTTCACACCTAATGGGTAAGCTTCATATCCCACAAGCCACATCAACATTTCAAGTTGGCCAGTCAACATTTCCCTATCTAATGGACAGACGTCCATCTAAGAGGGACGCCCGTCCACTACTTTTGTTTTAAAAAAAAAAAAAAATTTAATTTTTTGGACGGGCGTCCATCTTATATGGACGCCCGTCCATAGTAAATAGACACATGTCCATATAAGATGGACGAGTGTCCATTATTTTTCTTTCAAATTTTTTTGGACGGGTGTCCATCTTAGAAAGATGTCCGTCTATAGTAAACGGACAATCGTCCATATGACATGAACGGGAGTCCATTAAATATGGGCTGACGTCTATAAATGTTAGACGACCGTTTATTTACGAAAGACTCCAGTGTGGTCACGTCTGACTGATTGTTATGTCCTTCAGCACAAAATTCGGTGTAAAATTTTAGTATCCATAGCATTACTCAAAGTTTATCATAGATGGTCAGGTGTCCATTAAATTGCTGGCATATCTCCAATGTGGGCACAGGAAGGGGGAAGGTAAGAATAGCATATTTTTCGCAATTGCAAGTAGCAACTTCGTTCAGAATATACTCAATTAAAGGCCGCTCCATGAACAAAACCATAAGTCTCTCTGACTATGGCAAAGTGGGGTCTGTTTTGCTGACATGGCTATCATATTCAACTCCACCTAGGCACAGATGCTTGCGTGTTGACCTAGGATTCGATAAGGAGGAATCCTAATCACCATTTATTTACCAGACATGGTGAATATTCCGCATAAAACCTTAGACAATGCTCCAATTTCTTTATTCTCTATGTGTGATGGTTTTTAAAGAGGGGGGCATCTCCTTCAATAATACTTGCAGAATCCACATCCATAGCTGGTTTACTCATGAAAAATAGCCGTTGCTTTTGAAATATTGAATATTCTTCATTGTCAAATAAACATAGAATATAAATGTCTTCGTTCAACTGCCACTTAAAAACCTTATAAAATCATTATTGTCATATCAATATTTTTATGGTTTGACAGATATATACAAACTGTTATTTTATGTAAAATCTAAGCTAATTAATTATGTTTAAGTGGTCGAATGGTTTAATATGGACTCTTTGATGTATTACTAAAGAGGTACTAAGTTCAAGTCACTCCTCGATTGTTAATAGTGATAGTTACTTGAACTTTTACTCAACCGATAGTTTCAAGATCCTAAAAGATTAATTGAAATACGTTTAATCTGACTCGAACACTCCTTAGTAATTAAAAAAAAAAAAAGAAGCTAATAATTAATTAAGCTCTTTGTTCACCCATCAAACAAGTAATAAAGCGGCTTTAAAATTCCAGTTTGGAGATGGGTATAGGTGACTGACACCATGACCGATATTATCCTCTATAAAAAAAGGTTTCTCCCCTTTGGTATCCTGATATTGCACTTATCCTGATGACCTTGAAAGTGAGAAAATAACTTGTGCATCTTTTCAAGGGTCAATAGATGGACCAATTCAATTCATTATTCATCTGCTACTCATAATTTGGATTATTTTATCAGTTTTTTCACAGGATTTCTCTCTTTTCATTTATTTATCGTATCAAACAGTTTGGTTCCATGAACCCAGAACCATCAAGATTTCGCTCAGACTCTATTGTTCTGTAATATTTATTAAATAATTATTAGAATATTGCTTTCATAAAATAAATAGTACCCATATCAGCTATTATACATAATATGTATAACTTCTAAAAGACGTTAATTATATTTCCATTGAGTCCAAAAATTAGTTAAGGTACATATAAATTGATCCGAATACTTCTAATTATAAAAAGAAAAGAAATTATATTCACACTTGGGTTATAAGTGATTAATTGAAAGTTAGAAATCTCATATTAGACTTGAAATTAAATTGATGATGAGCAGTGCAGAAGCCATGTTCAGATATCAGAAAAAGATCAGTTAATGCCATTGTGTGATGCATGACAAATAGCTGACATCGGCAAGAGTATTTTTCTATATGGTGAAGAGTAATACTAATCTTACGAGAACACATACAAAGAGTCAAATCTATTTGAAATCATGATTATCTCTTTTGTCCTTTTTTTTAAAAACTGAATTTGACTCGTATGTAATGTTAGTATTACTCTAATCAAAAGGCCTCAGGTATCCACAACAACTTGAATAATACAAATATGAAATTACCCTTGATCCTACCTATTCTTATCTCTTCAGTCTTCACTTCGTTTGTGAAAATTATGTTGCTGTCTCCATCTTCACTTGCCATTCCACCTTCTACTCTCCATGTCCTTCCTACATCTGACCCTCCCTACAAGCTTCTTCAAAACCACCCATCTCTGGCTCTCCTCTCTAAGTGCAGAAACATACAAGACCTCAAACAAGTCCACTCTCAAATCATCAAGACTGGCCTCCACAATACCCAGTTCGCGCTAAGCAAACTCATTGAGTTTTGCGCTATTTCGCCTTTTGGTGATCTTAATTATGCCCTTCTAGTCTTCGAAACAATTGAAGAACCCAATCAAGTGATTTGGAACACCATTATTAGAGGACACTCATTGAGTTCATCGCCAATTTTGGCTATAGAATTCTATATTCGCATGATTTTATCTGGAGTAGTGCCAAATTATTATACACTTCCTTTTATCTTGAAATCCTGTGCAAAACTTGCTGCTACTATTGAAGGCAAACAGATTCACACTCATGTTCTGAAGTTGGGGCTTGGGTCTGATGCGTTTGTGCATACTTCGCTTATTAACATGTATGCACAAAATGGTGAATTGGAAAGTGCAAGATTGGTTTTTGATAAAAGTATTCTCCGTGACGCAGTTTCATACACGGCTTTGATCACCGGTTTTGCGTCAAGGGGTTATCTGGATGAGGCTAGGAAGCTTTTCGATGAAATTCCCGTAAGAGATGTGGTTTCTTGGAATGCTATGATTTATGGTTATGCTCAAAGTGGTCGATATCAAGAGGCATTGGAAGTGTTTCAAGAGACTTGTAATGAAAATGTTGTTCCTAATGAAAGCACAATGGTTACTGTCCTTTCCGCTTGTGCTCATTTGGGTTCTCTTGAATTGGGCAACTGGGTTCACTCTTGGATTGAAGAACATAGACTTGGTACTAATCTTCATACTGTTAATGCGCTTATTGATATGTACTCAAAATGTGGTGATTTGGAGAAGGCACGTGAATTGTTTGACAGTACAGAGCAGAGGGATGTTATTTCATGGAATATTATGATTGGTGGCTATACTCGTATGAGCTACTACAAAGAAGCATTAATGTTATTTCGGCAAATGCTACCATCAGATGTAGAGCCTAATGATGTCACCTTTTTAAGCATTCTTCCAACGTGTGCTTATTTAGGTGCGATTGATCTTGGCAAATGGATTCATGCTTATATAGACAAGAACTTCCAAAAACTAAACAATATATCCCTCTGGACAAGTCTTGTTGACATGTATGCTAAATGCGGAAATATAGAGGCAGCAGCACAAGTTTTTGACACCATGAGTTCCAAAAGCTTGGCTTCTTGGAATGCAATGATATGTGGGTTAGGCATGCATGGGAATGCAGATAAGGCTCTTGAACTCTTCTCAAGAATGATCAGTGAAGGATTCAAGCCAGATGATATCACATTTGTTGGTATCTTATCTGCTTGTAACCATGCTGGTTTTCTAGATCTTGGACGCCAATACTTTACCTCAATGATCCAAGATTACAAAATTTCACCAAAATTGCAACACTATGGTTGCATGATAGATCTTCTAGGCCATGCTGGATTATTTGATGAAGCAGAGGCTCTGATAGGAACTATGGAAATGAAGCCAGATGGAGCAATTTGGACTTCTTTACTAGGAGCTTGTCGGGTTCATGGACATGTGGAACTAGGTGAATCTTATGCAAAAAATCTCTTTGAACTGGAGCCAGAAAACGCTGGGGCTTATGTGCTATTATCAAACATCTATGCAGGAGTTGGTAGATGGGACGATGTAGCAAGGATAAGAACCAGGCTAAATGACAAGGGAATGAAGAAGGTTCCTGGTTGTAGCTCAATTGAGGTGGACAGTGTAGTTCATGAGTTTCTTGTGGGCGACAAAGTACATCCTCAGTGCAAACAAATATTTGAGATGTTGGATGAAATGGATACACTTTTGGAGAAGTCTGGGTTTGTTCCTGATACATCGGAAGTGCTGTATGACATGGATGAGGAGTGGAAGGAAGGAGCCTTGAGTCATCATAGTGAAAAGTTGGCAATTGCTTTCGGTTTGATTAGTACTAAGCCAGGGACAACAATTAGAATTGTGAAGAATCTTCGAGTGTGTGGGAATTGTCATTCTGCAACGAAGCTAATATCAAAGATCTTCAATAGGGAAATTATTGCTAGAGATAGAAATCGTTTCCACCATTTCAAAGATGGTTCTTGTTCTTGCAATGACTATTGGTAAAATTCAGACCTTGAATGTACAATATTTAGGATAAATTTGAGGCGCCAGTGCGTGGGTTTGTTATTGTATATTGTCAACACACATCAAGATTAATTAAACAATATATAGTCATTGTGTTTCCATTAATCGCTGTCTCGTGAAGATTGAAGCCGATTTGCAATGAGATAAGCTGATAATTGATAAACAAAACAAGTTCTCGTTCTCTTAAGCTATAAACACATCTTTATTCATTTACAGATGTTGGAATCACATGCTAAGTTGCTCCTGAGAACATGATAACAAATGGAGTTGGACAAAATTCAATCTTGTTAATGGTTCAAAATCATGCTTCCATGCCAGAGTGCTTGAAGGAGTTCTTTCGTGCTGTCGCCAGAACAGTCTTGTCAGCAACTATGAAGTATGCGGCGCCAGCCACTGCGATTGAACAATGAATAAATTTAAATACCAAATACAACCTAACAGTCGTGATAATAATGATCCATAACACTATATTATGGACGGTCACCTGTGGAGATTATAAGAGCTTGAGCCGTATGGTTGAGATTGGCTCTTGCCCAAGGCAGCATCCTTACGCTAGCCAGCTGCATGTTAAAAAAAATGTTAAGATTAATTTCCATGTAAATTAAGAAGGGAATGGTTGAAATCATGAGTTATGTCGAAGACTTACAGTTGGAATGGCAGTGGCAATGCTAGCAACAACAGCTGCCTTAGCTCCCGCGATTACACCCTCTGTTGATTAATCAAAAAATCATTTCCAATTCATAAATCAAAATCTAATTTCTTTTTGGCCCACCAACTCATCAATCTTGACTGCGGAATATTAAAATTGCCAGACATTAATTTTATTCAATACGTAAAGTAATTTGAGGGTGAACAAGAGGTCCGATCCGGATCTAAGGATCCCGGTCCCCTACCTCCGAAAGGGCCACTCTATGTCTATGGACAATAGAAAGTGACCTTTTTTTTTTCAGCATACAGAAGATTAGATTACTATATGCCAAATGTTCATGAAATAATTAGAATATTTTGATCGCCTAAAATATGAAAAAACTAAGCATGTTATCTCATGATGATCTTGGTGTAAAAAATAAAGTTGAAAAAGTGACAAAAAATGAAGGAAAAAGAAAGGTGACATACCATGAGAGCAACGCTTAGCCATGGCTAGCTTTTGGTCTAGTGATGCCAAACTAGACCTCTCAAAAGGAGACTGAGCAACATTTTTGGCCATTGTAAAAAATGTTATTTGAAGAAACACAAATGGGATATGCTAGTAAGAGATTTATTATTATTGATGTATTGCCTGAAGAGAGAGTGAGATTTGGTGGGACATTTATAGTAAATTTGGAGTAGTTGGTGGAAGAGAGAGAGAGAGAACACAATGTGTTGAGAATCTGGGTACAGAGTTTGATGGTTTCGTTTGAATACTAAAGTCTCGTTTTCGCTTGGGTTTCTGTAATGGTCGGTAAATGATTCTCTGGGTCTGCCTAAATGCCCCTGGTTTTTCAGCCACAATGCTCAGTGAAAAGCTGTAATGGATAAGTAGGTGAACTTTTAGATCCAGGAATTGTATTAAAAGATATTACTAACCACCGTTGGTTCATGCTTGATGGTTAAAAAACAAAACAAAAGAAGGTTTTATAAGTTTTAAGAGTCCTCTTAATAATTAATAGGACGATGATTGAAGTTCTTTTAAGTTTTAAGATCATAAAGGTTTAGTTGAGATATGCGTAAATTGATTCAAATATTCTAATGATAAAAAATAAATAAATTAATTAAAAGATATTATTTATCATAATGGTAACAAATTGTTGGACTGATACTGGTAGTAGCTAAGGATTACAAACAGTTGTGTTGACTCCACTCCTCCTAGTTACTGTGTTAATTATCAGAGTTCATGATGGTGGGTGATCCGTAATTATGATGAAAACAATGGGCAGTGATAACTGGGTCACTTTCTGATCCACTCAGCTTATTCACTTGCACACCGAGTCCCATAAAGTGGCTTTTTAATTGTTCTTTACTTTAATCGATTTTTCTCCGGAGTTTGTTTTTTTTTTATAATTTTATTTCTCCCTGATCAGTGAAGCCACTGGTTTGAAGCAAACAGTATCAAAACCATGGGAAGCCTTATGCTGAGTTATGCCTTTCATGTGCAATGTTCTTGAGATTTGAACAAGTGTCCCAAACCAAGCGCTGGGATCGATCCTTAGCTTGTCTTTGCCTGCTACGAGTAGTACAGACCGACAGGACAGGAGTCCAAAAATGTGTTGAGATCATGGGTTTCCTTTATTTGATGGTTTCGTCTTGCGTGAATAAGCAAATGGACTTTAGACGGAGCTTTGATTTACTGCAGTTTGATAACTTTCGACTGTCTGACAATTAAAGGTTCAATGCTTAATTTTTCAACCATGTTTAGGTAAATAATCTTATCAATGGCGAATAATTTATGCCTATATATATTTATATTGAGTAACGTAGTGGTTAGAGATTACTCGTATGGGGGAATTACATATTTAACCTTAAACATCAATGGATATAAATTATTATTATTTTTGATTTGTGTGAATTATATCAATAATTAATATGTTTGGTTGGTAATAATTATAAAATGATTAAATATTATTTTATTAAAATACTCTTTATTATTATTACTATTATTATTATTATTGTTATTGTTATTTTATTGTTATTATTATGTGGGGCATTTTTGTCTAATAATTAATTAATAAGGTTAAGGAAGTTATTAAACAAGTTGGGTAAGATTGCTACGATAATCTTAAAATATCATCTTTTCACTTGATAATCATATAACCTTATATATCACTCCTTATATTACATAAGTAATAAAATATTATTAGAATCACTTATTAACTTTTGAATCAAACCAGATAATGACATTAAAAGATAGATTAGCCGAGTAGTCTTCTTAAAGTCATAACCATACGCAGGCTTATTGGCATCTCCGACCCTCACAATAATTTTGTGTGTATTTACTTGAAAAACCAAGAGGCTGCCTAACTAAGAACACATTTAGGGATATGTATAGCTAACTGACTGGTGAGATTCACACCATAATCCTTTTTGTAAGAAGGATTTGAAATTTTTGATGAAAATTTAAATAAGAATTTTATATATATTTGCTTCATATTGAAATTGTTGTGGCTATTCATGGTGAATAACCGAATAAGCATATATATATATATAAACACACAAACAACAAAGAAAAACTTCACAAGAACAAGGTAGATACTGATAATTAGTGAAATATATATAGGTTTTGGAGGATACAACTCAAATTCCTTATGACTTGATGATGAGTGGACGGAAGGGGCCTTGAGAAGTTTGGCAATTGCTTTTGGTTTGACTGGTACAAAGCCGGGAACAGCAATTATTTCATTCTTCTACGATTTCCAAGCTCATATCTAATGGGGAAATTATTGGTGTAGAGAGAGTAATCGTTCCAAAGATGGCTCCAATTGTTCATGCAATTACCATATTGTTCAAAGTGAATTTGAAGCCCCATTTATGGGTTTTGTTGTTGTCAGGTGTCAAACACATTTTAAAACAAGCCATTCACTGTCACTTCAAGATTGAAGCTGATTGTTGTGCAACTAAATTTTATAAATAAATACCATTTTTTATTTATATACAGATAACGAGTTTACATGCTAAGCTGCTTCTTAAAAGATTATAACCATGACAGAATATTTAATCTTGAATCTTGATAGCAATTCAAGATCGGGTTTGAATGATAGCTAATATGCTTCCATGTTAGAGTGCTTGAAAGAATTCTTCCGTGCCGTCGCCAGAACAGTCTTGTCAGCAACTATGAAGTATGCGGCGCCCGCCACTGTAATTGATCAATGAATCAATTTAATAAACATAAACAACCAAACGGTCTGATAATAATGATCCACATATATAAGAACATAGTAAGGATATGGTCACCTGTGGAGATAATGAGAGCTTGAGCCGTATGGTTGAGATTAGCTCTTGCCCAAGGCAACATTCTCACACTAGCCAGCTGCATGCATTTTGAGAAATGTTGAAATTATGATTAATTGTTTTAGAATATATATGTCGTCTTAATTACAAATCATGAGATCTTTACAAAGACTTACAGTTGGAATGGCTGTGGCAATGCCAGCGACAACAGCTGCCTTAGCTCCCGCAATTACACCCTCTGTTGATTAATTAAGACAAAACAATTACGATTCATAGAGCTATTTATATCATTATATATAAGCAAAATCCAATTACTTTTTGGCCCACCGCATCATCAATCTTGACTGTGGAATATAAAAAAATGCCAAAGATTAAATTTTGCTCAATACTTGAGGGTGAAAAAGATGTGTGATTCGGGTCTCTGCATATCCCGGTCCTCTACTTCCAAAAGGGCCATTGTTTTGAGTTTTGACAATGGAGAGAGATACCCATGAAATAATTAGGATCTTTTAAATCGGATAGCTATAAATGATGTGAAAAAATTTAACATGTTATCTCATGATGATCTTGGTGTAAAAAACAAAGGAAAAAGAAAGGTGACATAGACATATACCATGAGAGCAACGCTTAGCCATGGCCAGCTTTTGATCAAGTGAAGCCAAGCTAGATCTCTCAAGAGGAGACTGAGCCACATTTTTTGCCATTGTAAGAAAGGTAATTTGAAAAAATACACAAACGGGATATGTTAATAAGGAAGTGAATTGATGTATTGCATGGTTGGATTGGATATTTATAGGGAATTGAGAGTAGATGGTGTGACGGAAAGAGAGAGAAAGAGGTCGTGTTGTTTTCAAATACTGAACAGCACTGGAGTACAGAGTTTGATGGTTTCACTTCAGTTGTTTGCACCTGGGTTTGTGTTTATGGTGGGTTCATTCTTTTGCTTTGTTCCCTTTATATCTATATGCCCCTGGTTTTCCCCCATGATTCTGTCATGGATAGGTAAAGTAGGTGAACTTCAACTCAAACGATATCTGATCTGATTTACGCATAATATTATGGGGGTGTTTGTCTAAGCTTATAAGTTAATCAAACTAGTTTATAAGCTTTAAAATTAAGTTGACAAGTTTGTTTATAACTTTTTTGAACTTATAAATAAAGCTTATAAGCAAAAAAAAAATAAGTTGGGAGAAGGTATTTTTTTTTCTTGCTTATAAGCACTCAGCTTATAAGCTAGTTTGACCAAATATATTACCATATTATCTTTGTTTAATTTTAAAATTTTATAATATATCCTTATTTAATATAATACAATTTTTAGTCATTTTCTAATAAAATGTACTTATAAGCTATATTTTACCAAATACGTCAATTACTTATCAGCCACTTATAAGTACTTTAACCAAATACGTAATTGCTTAAAATTTCAAATGCTTATAAGTTAAAATTAGTATATAAGCAAATGTTGTTTATAAGCTAATTTTCATAAGCTCAGACAAACATCTCGTATATATATAATATTTTTTATTAAGTATGATGTGATAAAAGATGATTGATTAATTTTAAATTTAAAAAAAAAAAACATTTACCTAATTATCTTTTAGCACATCGTGTTCTATTAAAAATATTTATAAAAATGTTGTTATTACTCAGATTTAATTATGTCCTAATAATGTAATTATAGAGAAAACAAAGGGTATAGATATTTGGTCACTTTATCTACTTTTTATTATTCATTTACACAGAGATCCATTAAAATGTTAGGAGCCAGCGGGTTGCTCCAAAACCATGGGTAGGCTTCATGTGTAACTGCAATATCCATAAGATTTGAACAAGTGTCCTCCCATAAACGTTGATTTGATGGGTTTGTTGTTCAATTTCAATCTTCAATCTTGAGTGGGTTGCAAGTACCTTTTACTGGGCTGACTGTTTATCATTAAATTACTCTTGATTTGAATCATTTGATTGACCCTAATTAACAAGTACAGTTATGTTATATTGCCAATACAATAATATAAATTATATATGCAAGTTTATGTGTATGATAAAGGTTATTGAATATGTATGATGTACGTGTGGCCCATTGTTGTTAAGAAAATTGTGTGGTTTTACTTGAAAATAGGGTTAGCCTAAGTTTAGACATATTATAAGGGGATAGGGAATAGCAGATTTAAATATAATGTTTTAAAATGATATTAAGAACATATCTAATGATACTCTTTATTTTGAAAAATATATTTTATATAAATAAATAATATTTTTATTAATTTTTAAATATAAAAAATATAATTTTTATTCAAATTCAATAGACTCTTTAAATTTAATAAATATACTCTTTATTTTTAAGAAGAAACTTAATGGGAGAGAAAATTAATAAATAAAATACATAGAAACTTGTAGTTAATTAATTAGAATTAGGATAGAAAGTAAAATTTGACTCTCTAAATGTGAAGAGTCAAACTTACTCTCTAATTTATATTTTAAAGATAAAGAGTCTGTTGAACTCTTATTTTTATGGATGGATTCTTTATAATAAAAAGTTTAAGTCATATAAAGAGTCCTTTAAAGATGCTCTAATAAAGGTTTATAATTGAAAGATAACGATGAAAGAAGTGATCAACTAAAATTTTTTAATGTATTATTTATGAGATTTTTAATTTAATTTATTTCTATTATTAATAAGAGTAATCATTGTCTTACAAAAAAAATGATGGAAGAAGTGATTATATTTATACATATTAATGTTGGGTTGACCAAGTGTTTTATTGGACAGAGTGAAAGACATTAATAAATAGATATAGTTGAATCTCATTAGTGATAGAATTAAGAGTCCAAATTCCAATAAAAATGGATGATTTGCCTTGCATGTTATGTCATGAGTGCTCTTCTTCTTTAGTTCTTTTCTGTCATTTCGCAAATGTAATAAATATAAATATGTATAGTGAATTTGTTGTTTATTATTTAACAAAATTCATTAATTTAATTATAAATAAGATAGTTGTCATTTTCAGTCTCAAGTAGGTGAGAAAGAACCAAAGAAACCCGCGTGCTTCTGCAAGCTGACTCCTGACGGTCCCCATTTCAAATTTCAATCAATTCATTTCTTAGACTCATCAAATCTTTGACTTCATTAATAAAATACTTGAGCCTTAATTTGTATACATTATGATTTAAGTATTCATTGGGCCACATTAATATATATACATGATTCAACTAACATTCCTCATTTGACTTTCCCTTTTCTAAATATTTTAAATGTCCTTCAATTAACATTCATATTTAACTGCTTTCCCTTGTATTCGTTTTGGTCTTTTAAAACTTTAATTATTACATTACATATACTTCTTATCTCTCTCAGCCTGAGCTCATGATATCTCTTAACTTTATATTGGCCGAACGAATCTTCTCACCCTAAGTTTGCCCTAGCGTCAATTTACTACCCAAAAAGTTTAAAAATGACAATTACCCACCAACCATTAATTATATCCGTTAATTTGAACTGAAAAATTATAGGATGGTAAATTCAAAAATAGTCAAAAGGTAATTCTAACATTTTACGCCATATATAAAAAACCATTTTTCTAATCTCCCCATCCTCCTCTCGTCTTCTTCTTCTTCTTCATGTCCCCTTCCTCCACTGCTAGAATTTCTTTGCCTTTCCAGTAGCCGACATCTCCCAGTTGGCAGCCCTTCCACTCTCCACGCTATTTCCAACTACCTGCCTGCCAACAACCGCCCCCAGCCATCGGATTTGTGACTTCCCGCCCATCCAAGTCCCTCAATCGCGTTTGACTGCCTCCATCGCAGTCGTGAGACAAACCCCTGCACCCCAACCGACAAACTCCACGACATCCACCATCTGCCCCTTTGTCTCGCTATGATTGTGTCACGTGCCTAGCTAGATGCGATTTGGTCGGAATCGTGCCTGGCTAGGAGCAGTTTTTGTTGGCGCAATTCCGGTCGGTTGAATAAGATATGGGATTTGGGTTCGAAGAAGAAAATGTATTTTCATCTTTATAGTTACTGTACTATGTTAGATAACATATTTTATTAACAGATCTTAACGGTGAGTGGGCAATTATCGTACATATATTCACGATGGGTGGGTAATTGTTGTTTTCAAATTTTTTGGGTAGTAAGTTGTTGTTAGGGCAAACTTGGCGCGGATGGGAACATATTATTCGGCCCTTTATATTCTTTTAAGTTTGTCAAAGTAAACTAGATTGTACGAGATAGCTTCCAATACATTAGTTTATTTTGAAGAATTTCATTTGGGTTTTGGGTGTGTGTTAAATAAAGAAAAAGTGGAAAGATAGATAATGAAATATTTGGTTTCTTTATTTCCTTTAATCGGTGAAAGAACATGGGAATGCGTGGTGGCTATGTGCAAAAAGTAAAAGAAAATTGCAATTTTTAAATTTTACCATCATCAGAAATCAACACTCATTATGTCACCACATGATCACCTTCATACACTTATCATGACTATCACATTGCCTCCTATTCCTTTTACACGTAAGCATATATATATATATATACATATATATTTGAATCCAAAGCACTGATCTGACTTGACTTAATTAAATTAGTATTACATTAATAATATTAATCATCTAAAACATCACTTCCATTACTGTAAAATCAAACAAACTGTCACTTAATTTTATTTACATTTTACAGTTAGAAATAGTCAAAATGATGGGGTATCTGATAAGGGGCCTCTCTCTCTTTCTTGCTTAATTTGGGTAAATTATTGTAACCCTTATTCCTAATCTTGCAAACATATTGGTCATTAGGAACCTCTGGAGGCTTAATCGATCTAATTAATGCCCAATTAACACCCTTGAAGAACTCATGCCTCTTTATCTCAACTGAACCCTTTAAGCTCCCCATTCTCTTCTTTGGATTCTTCACTAGAAGCCTGCTTATAAGATCTTGTACTTTCACCATTTCTTCAAATTCTTTACTGCTACTAACACCCATTCTCGGCATGCTTAATGGCTTTTTAAGAATGTTAATTAGTGTTTTCTCGTTGTTTTCACCTTTGAATGGTGTTGTCCCGTAAATCATCTCGTACAAGAACACCCCTAAAGTCCACCAATCCACAGCGCTTCCGTGCCCTTGCCCTGATATCACCTCCGGCGCCAAGTACTCATGCGTCCCCACGAAGGATTTTGATCGAGCGTTGATTGGTTCAGCTACTAGTTCCGGATCAACTTCTTGAGTGCCTTCAACTTGTTCCGTGATTGTTGTAACTGTTACCTTCTTCTTTCTGGTTGAGGCCGAAAAACAAGATAGCACCGGCTGCATGGGTGTAGCACACGATGGAATTGAGCAGTATTTTTCATACTTGTCAATGGCTTCCAAGTTGAGTTTTGGCTTCAGCAGCTTCGGCACAACGTCACATTTTAAAGAAAGATCGAAATCCGAAAGCATGATATGACCATCTTCTCTAACCAACACGTTTTCTGGCTTTAAGTCTCTGTAAACTATGCCCATCATGTGTAGATACTCTAGAGCCAAGAGTGTCTCAGCCGCGTAAAACCTGAACCAATTAACAATTTATTGCAATATTAAGTATCAACCATTATCATTATCATAAGAACTGAAACTGTTAACAAAATCTCTCTTTTTAAAACGCAAAAAAAAAAACTAACTTACTTGGCAGATGAAATGCTGAAGCGCTTCCCCGGCTGGCGTTGGCGAGCGGCGTACAAGTCTCCGCCGGGACAGTACTCCATGACCAAGCAAGAGTAATGAGAGGCCTCAAACTCTGCGTAAAGAGTTGGTACAAAAGGATGATCGAGCATGGTTAAAATCTCCTTCTCCATATCGGCTCTGTGTAGCTTCTTCCTTATCGCAAGTGCTTCTCTATCCACCACTTTCATGGCGTAAAAACACTGTGGCAGTCCCACCACAGGGTTCCTTATCTGGCAAAGATAAACGTTCCCTATGTCACCACTGCCGAGCCGGCGCAGGAGCCTGAAATGGTCGAGCCCAACTCGACCTTGCGCTCTTCTGAGAAGTTTCATGGCTTCCCACGCGGCTTGGTTGGCCTTGTGTGGCTTTTGGGAGTTGTAAAGAGAGGTTTCGGCGGATGAGGAGCAAACAGAGACGGAGCTACGACGGCTACCGAAGCTGAGGTTGCTCATGAAACTACGGCTAGAGTCGGGGACCGTTATGGAGGAGGAGCTGCTGTCATAGTCGGATTCATCTCTGTTAACGGTGGTGGCTGCCATTTTTGTTGGTGGTGCATGCATGTAGTGTTTGAATGAAGAAGAGGGGATTTTAATTGTCCCTTTGCCTTGCTTTCAATGGCTTTTTATATGAATTGATATATGTAATGTGAAGCATGGAATGGAAGGTTACAAAGTGTTATTTTTTTCATAATTTAATTAAAAATACCCCTATATGTTTTATATTTATCGAATTGCCCACTATTTTCACTAATTATCACAACACTGTCGATATAACTTTTCGGTTGATCATTTAATATTCACCTAAACTGATAAATTAAAATTAATTGACTGAATGGAAAAAGAAAATTAAAAAAAAAAAAAAGTGCTGTGGCTCAACCAATTACGATGACACGATCTATAATTGAAGATCTGGAAAAGCTTAAAGTAATTAAGAAAAGAGTTTAAAGGGAGGGTAAGTCATCAACTGACACAGCCACTAGTGTTTGTTTCTGGGTCTGGCAGAAGAAGAAGTGGGTTACAGAGAGGAGGAATGGTGATGCTGATGCATGTAAACATTAATGTATCTCAAAATTTCATTAATGTCAAAATATTTATGTTTGTTTTAATGATTCTGATCCTGATGTAAACAATATGCCTTCTGGAAACACTTTTGAAACGCATGCATATAAAATTTCGTGGGAATTTGGTTATTTTGATGAGGGAAAACACTGGCTTCGTGAAAAAGGCGATGGTCAAAAGCACTTGTTCTTTTCTGCTAAAAAGCTTCTTAACACCCATTTTTATGACATGCTTTTCCCGAGAAACGATTAACTTATAATTAAAAAGCAAACAACAAAACATATGATCTTGACGGCCACAAATCAATCAATCAATCACAAGTGAAAATGGTTTGTTTTTGACTGGTAGTTGCAGTGGTGTAAAAAAAAGGTGTGGGTATGCACGAAACACCCGTGGACTAAATTCATTTCCACCTCAGAGATGAACATTAAATCGGAGAGGTGACTTCTTTAATGTGATAAAAATCAAATGAGTATTATGTTATTTTTGTTTAGAGTAAACGACTTTTTCCCACCCAAGGTTTGCTTTAATTACATTTTCCCAACCTAAATTGTTTCAAAATATTATTTTTTTATCCAAAATTAATATTTCGTTATTACCCAAAACTAATTACGAAGGCAAAAATTCTCTTTATCACCATCATTTGAATCTCTAGTATTCTCTTTACAAAACCCTTCTCATTCAGACACTTGATTGCTCGTCGATTGTCGATCACTGTAAAGTTAGAGTTTTCTATTCTTAGTTGATTTTTATGACGAATATTCAATCTGTCATTACCATGCAATCTACCAGTTTCCACTTTACAAAATCCTTCTTATCCTAGCTTCTGGTAACTTGCAGAATGCTGATTGAGAAAATGAAATATATTTTAGATATTAATAGAATCTAAACTATGGATAGAATAATCATATTTTGAAACTTTTTGAGTGAGAAATGTTATTAAGGCAAACCTTAGGTTGGGAAAAGTCGTTTACTCTTTTTCTTTATGGTGCTCTTGTCATGCATGTGAATTCTTGGACCCAGGGGACCTGTATTGGGTCCATTTTCTTGCCTTTACACGTGTCAATTTTAAACTGGTTTTCACATTCTTTTTTTTTATTTATTAGGTTGGAAAAACAGCTAGCTCTCATTAATTTGAGGTAAGTTTATCTTTTTGTTTCATAATTTGAGAATGTGAAGGCATCATATTTTACCTACCATTCCATTCTTAGATAATTGGATGGGACAAAAGGATCGAGTTCATCCAATTACTTTGGCCTTGGACTTGTTTGTCTTTGTCACATCCTCCATTCTAAATATGATGATAAATGATATTGTGGGCCTGTAATCAAGCACAAAATTTTGATCATCATTCATAATAAAAACCATCCCAAAGGAGATCAAGATCATATCAAAAATCTCTCCTCATTTGATGGGATTTGGAGACTTTATGAAAAGTGTATCAGATTTCTCTTTGTTTCTTCCTTTCAAATATAATACCAATTCTAAATTCGTCTTTTTTCTTAATCTCTTCCTGTGAATGTTCCACTTTTCTCTGCAACATCTTATCATTTTCACTTTTGGTTACATTTCCAGGTAGCAGACCCAGCAATTTTTGCTGTACTGCAGAGGTGGCAAATATATAGGAACACTCAATCCTCCATCACTTGCCCCATACATTCTTCTCCCCATGTCAATCCAAATCCATCAACCTTTCTTCTTCACATTTCTTTATATTTTTTCTTATGATACAACAAATCTTCTGCGGTTACTAATTGCCTCAATTATTCTTCTTTTTACACTAAGAATAGTTAAGATTGCAATTACTTTCTTACATATTTGATCATGACATATGTTGATGCTTGATTTTGACACTAACGACTCGCACGTGTAAAGTGCTAAGCTATTCTTAGAAATTACACATGAATGATTGGAATAATCAAATGCAAAAACTAAATAATAAATGAGAGATTGTTTTTAAAGTGGTTTAGATGCTTAAAGTGAATCCCACGTCCACTGTTTCTTTTATTTATGAGAGATTACAAGAGGTCGTGTATAGCGGACAGCGAGCAGAGGTACAATAACTTAATATTCATAAAGAATATCAAGCTAGTCTTTTTCTCGTAGGTTGTCTTTGCTATGAAAATAAAGATTACAATCAGAATGAGGTTTCAAGATTAGAATCTCGAAATTGAGAGAGGGAGTCCTCTATTTATAGTAGAGGAATTCAAGGTAATGATTACAAATCTGTAAGTGGGTGGGTGCCGTGCAAGTCATTCTTTGCCTTTCATTGGCTGATAACTTAGGAAATATCCTCAAATTGTTTGGGGCTTGGACAAGTGTGCGGCCTTTTATCACTCATGGACAAAACTTGAATCTGCCAAGTTGATGATAGTCATATTCTTCCTGTCATGGAGCGAAATGGCAGCTCCTAGACGGCGCAAAGCCTTCCTGAACTCTGATTGGTGCTTGCTGACATAGGCTAACGTCAGCCCTGATTTTTTAGGCATAACAGAAGTTCCCCAGTTCTTAAGGTTCAAAGATTGAATCTTGAGAACTTCATGACTATGCCGCGACCTAACTTGTTTCGAGAAGCATTTATCTAAACTAACAATTGAGATTAACCACATTGTTACAAACGACGTGAGGCTGATAGTCTGCCTCGACCAGCGAGCTAAGTGTAGACCGTGATTTGGATTTTTGAGAGTTACATAAGTGACTCGAATGACCTCCTCAGATGTTATCTATTGTGCTTGACAGCTGTCTTGGTCAATAAAATAAACTTTATTTGACAAACGTGTCTCTGTGTAATAAGTGTCAGCCATGAGCATTAAATGCTAGCCATGCTGAAGCGACATTCCCTTTTAAAACATTAAATGCAGATGAGGGCGCATTTAATGTGGAGGAGATAATCATGCCAGTTGATCTCCACGAAGCATGAAGGTTACTCCTCGCGCAGATTAATGACATGTGGTCACAATCAATGGTTGGAAACGTGTTCCTACCTAAACGTCACTTATAAAAGAAACCAAACGTCGCCTTTCACTCTATAAAATGCAAACTCCATTCTAAGTTTTTTTCACAAAACTCAAACTTTCAGAGAGAAAAAACAACGCTTTTGCACTCAAAAGATCAGTTAATCCCCTTCCCGATTAATGCGCATTCAACGCTACGACATAGTAGCCATTCCCAATAATCAAGAGGTAAAGAAAATTTCTTCTCTTTTCCATTCTGTCAAAAACTTAATTTTTACAGTAATGGTGGGTATGGAAATCTGATAGGCTTAGACGATGAATATTCTCGGGTAGTGTTTGAGAAGAAACACTATTAAGAGTAAAAACTTAAGGCGCAAATATTTAGAAAATCTTTCTTAAGAATTTTAGGGTTTTTAGGGTTTTGGCGGCTATGTAAGAGAAACCAAGGTTCTCTTACTCTCTTGAGTCATCGTACGAGGTAATGTATACGGAGACTGAGTCACCTCTACATGTCGCATATTTACAGACTCGAAGAGCAATGGATACTCCTAAGGCGAGAACAGTCGAAAAGGGGAGCTCGCAACCACTGAACACCATGGAGGCTCCTAGAAAGGTGATACGATCAACAGTCACGAAGGATGGAATCCAAAAAGCAATAGACCAACACGCAATCAACGTAAACGTGTATCGGTACAAGTCACACACTACTCAGGAACCTCCCAAGGGAATGGCCGCAATCTCGTAAGCAATCTTCAAATGTGCGGTGAGGATACCTCTCCATCCCTACATCAGGTTGATTCTCAACCATTTCCAGATTCCATCATTCCAGCTGACGCCAAATGCATATATGATAGCGGTCACTATGTATATAGCATTTAGTGAGCACAACCTCGGTGAGCTAATAGTAGAAGAACTCGGCTGCGCATACTATTTAAAGAAGAGTAAAGACAAGGACTCATACTGCCTCTTCAAGCGATCAACGATCGAAGGAGGGATATTTGGTTACCCTAGGAACGTTGGGGCTTACGAAATCAAATATTTTTTCTTCAAGTACGATGGAATTTGTAAATTTAATGAAACTAGTAGGTTTTCCATTTAATTTCCAGATGCTCATCTTTTAAATTTTCCTTAGCATACTAGGTTAACAAACCTTTTACTTTCTTGCAGAAAACAAAACAACCAGATTGAAGGCGCTAGCTGATCGCAGTCACATCAAAGAATTTGGTTGATTACTTAACCAGAGTCACGATGCAAGTCTACTCATGAGTACCACCAACCTGTGGAAGTATGGGTTTTTCACTCCTGACGCATCTTTGGAAGGTTCATCTCGTAAGTATCTCTTACATAGAGGAACTCTAAGTCTTTTTTAACAAAAGAAGACTTTGCTTGCTAACGTATCTTTATGTCATGCAGCAATTATGCCACCGAATGTTTCAAAAACGACGAAAAAGCCTAGGGGGTTCACATTCCTCAGGATCAATCCAATTGAAACAACTGGAGCGACCTCTAACGATATCCCTACAAGAGGGATATAAATTGGTGCCAAAAAGCACCAGACCATACA